CTGAATAAGGGGCTAGCAGTTTGTGTAAATTTTAAGTTATGCTTAAAAGACTGGATTCAGCTTGAGAAGACGAACTAAGTGACATCGAAAACGAAAATCGGCCAGCAATGAACACGGGGTTTTACCTTTAAACTGCAGCACTCTTCCCGCGCGATTTGAAGTTTTTCCGTGCGGCCATATGTTGATCACCAGGCTGCGAGCCAGCCGGCGGCATTTACAATTGCGTCATGCGGAGCCACGTCAAAAAAACAGGTAATTTCGGCCCACAACAAATTTACATCGCCGGCTGAAAGTGTGCCCACAATGACATCACGTGTATACGGTCGTACTCACCGCGCACGACGCCATTTTGAATGCTACGCCGTAGGCTTGCAAATCGCTTCCACGACCGGTCCGCCAGCATTGAGTGGCGCACTGTGAGGTTATCAATCACATGAAATGGATGCCTTCATCGGACAGGTATAGTGTAGTGTCAGCTGCTAGCCGCACAGGAGCGCTGATGAATGCGCATGTTCGCGCTCTTCGCGTGCCGTTTTAGGCATTTCTCCGAGCGGCGGTATGCTAGCCATTACATGACGGCCGGCCTACCGCGTTAAGTGATGCGCCGTCAAGGGGTTATGTGGACAAAACAGACTCACTCCTTCAGCCGATGGCGGAGTTGCCGGATGACGGTACCTCCACAATGATATCTCACGATGTCATTGTGGGAGCACTGTCGTCTGTAAGCGAACGTAGCGCGTACCCGCCTGGACTCGTCCAAAAACGACTGGCGCTGCGAGCGTCGGGTCCCTGCCGCCCCTCAGCGGCCGACCCTTGACCCCCGGCGAATCGGGAGACCCGCGGTCACGTGACACCTCCGGCACCCAGTCAGATGTAGAGCTCGGAAGACAGCGAGGCTGCCTTCGCGACAGGCCGCCGCCGCCGCCGCCAGGTGCGCGTCTCGGCCCTAAAAGCACATGGTGGGAACCGTAGCCGTCGTCCCATGGCTCCGTCGCCGGCGCGGCCGCTCCCACGAGCTCACAGGTGCCCCCCCCCCCCCAAAAAAAAAACACGACTAACTGGTAGCCGGGGCGCACACCCTGCACAATCACACCACATCGTCATTCGTCGTACTCGTGCACGAAAATGGGTATTTGTAATTGGACACTACCGCAACTTTGCAAATCGCCGCTGTGGCAAACTCTCCAGCGTTGAGAACTGCGCCAGCTGGGAGCCAACGGAACAAGATGAATGCCTTGATTTCACAAGTGTTAAGGTCTCGCGCCGTTGGCCAGCGCGCCACCCCAGCCGTTACCGCGAAATACCACAACACACCACTTAGGTTCTGTCAACGCATCATGGTTCAGTGCATGCACTACTTGCTTCCGCCTGCCGCACGGTATGAGCGAGCGGGTCCGGAAGAGTTTGTTGAGCGTTCACCGCAGAGCAACGCCGGCAGAGCGCACCCGGACGGGGTATATATGCTCACTGCGTATGTACGTTTGATCAATCGCCATATTCAAACGATTCTCGTACTTAACACGCCACTTCCTAGCGCCAAACACAGGTGCTCGCCTTAGATTTCATCTTGATCAAAGGACCAGTATTAGACTCACATTTAACGCAAGTCAAATTTCCGTGTGCACACTTTTATAACACGCGAAGGAGCCCCATAAAGGCCGCAGAATCAGAGCCCTCTATGGCCCGTCCCCCCCCCCCCCCCCCCAGAGCCTGCCCCAGAGAGGCCACGGCACGGAGTGACTCGAGAGCCCGTTCATCACGTCCTACATCGTGCTCGCCCTGGAATGGGACGTTAGCTCCCTCGCGCATGCGCATGCCTCGGCTGCGGCACCTCGGACGCCTGATACGGCTGCCTCCGTCACCTAGTGACCGGCCGCGTCTGCAGTGCCGGCGTGCCCGACATGCCGAGTGGCGGCCGCCTGGAGACAGGCCTCCCAACAAACCATCCCAGGTTATTGGGCGCGATCGGGCCCTCACCATACACGGCACGACGCCGCGCTCTCTCCCGATTGTGCATACAATGCCGGCCGGCGGTGGCAAGCGAACCCCGCACCGCGGCGGCTGAAATACTTAACACTGTGCTGGGTGACGCATCAAGGATTCAGGAGACAGGAGACACACGCTCACAAAATCTACGCCCAGAAGTCCAACGTTCACAAAACTTACGCCCATAAGACCTACGCTCACGAGACGTACGTTCAGAGGACATACGCTCAGTAGACCTACGCCCAATAGATCTACAGTGAGGCCGTGGTCAAATTAGCGAATCAGTTTTTGCCTGACCGTAGCCTTCCGTCATAGAGGTAGGGCATGGAGGAGGTTCCTGGCGCTCCTACACAAATGTGATATTAGCATGTAGGATGTAAGGGAACCACGGCAACGGTTTAATAAGAAATAACAGTCGCAGTCATGCAAACTGTAAGTTCCGACCAGCTTAAAAGGAGTGTTCCTCATTCATATGGGGTTTTGAAGTGAAATAGCCATCTTGAAGACATTTTGGTGCATTTGCCAACCCTGCCCTTCTTAAGACGTAACCCCCTCCAGTCTCTGTGCTATACGTCAACGTGAATGGGAGACAAATTTTCGGGGAGTATTTCAAAGTCACCTTGGCATTCATGACGTCATAGCAATGTCATTGAGATCCTGCCATTCTGTAAGTCATGCGGTAATTAATACGAAAAATACATTGCCGAGGCATTCATATCTGGCGTCCGTGAGGACGATTTGCAGACATCACGGCCGTCCAGTGACTCTCAATCAATTTTGTGCAAGGTACGGTGACGTAGTCAAACCGTGATGCGTCGAGGAACATCCTTACTAAACGGAGAATTGTGCGTCTTATGGCACTTTGCCGCTAAAAAAACATGTCAATATTTGTAAGTGTGGGTGCTTCATCATACCTAATACTTGCTTTCATATCAGAAAATGTGAAGCGTTTCAACAACCCGATTCAATTTATGCCCATCCTTGGATCAAGTCAGCAAACACGTTGAATCCCGACGCGCTAAAAGAAGCGGCATTGGAGAGAGGCGTGCGAGTTTTGAAAAAGGGAGGGTGCTTCCATATATATATATATTCCTTGAGCCAAAATTGCTCGTTAAACTAGGGTATGTGCAGTCAAGGCCTGTTTGGTTGCTGAAGGAATTGTAATTTTATGAAGGTAAGAGCGATGTTTTTCGGTGTGGGCATTGACCAGGGTCGGTAAACGTAATGTGTGTGTGGATAGACATACGCTGTAACGGTGTATTTCTGTAGTTGTGTTTTCTTGTAATAGATTTGAATAGATGAATTTATCTGCTTCCTGGGTGTCTTACTTGATGTAGGTTGCAGGGTTGTGACTGTGACCACGACAGATGTGCGCTGAATGTGGACTATTTGTGCTCTGGGCGCAGGCCAAAGCAAGACAGTTTCTTGAGTTGTTTTTGCATATGAAATATTTGCTGTGCATTTTTGATGGAATTGCTTTATTAACATCATACTTCCTTGAAACATGCTGCACCAAAAGTTGTAGTTGCATTCCAAAGTTGCCACTCTCTGACCAATTTTACCACCTTTCACCATTGCAGGCTTTTGTGCTGTAGTAGGCTGGCCTGTGCTATAAAATGGTGAATTTTGCACGCAGTGTACATGCTGCTGTTTGCTGCTAAAATGTGCCCAGACCAGCTGCCAATATTATTTGGGATTTGCTGTGCATTCAATGGATGAAAAGTGGTATGCTGATTGATGTTGAGATAGAATATGCCTGCACAACCCACCTGGAGTGTTTCTACATGTACGCATGCCTTCCCACTTGCTTCCAGCCCAAGCATGAAGTGCTATAGAAAACAGGTCCAAACTGCCATGCATATGGGTAAAAAATAATGTAAATGACACAATGGGCATCTTGTAGTAAAAGTGAATGTCAACACAATAAAAAGTTAATACATTTAATATTATATTATGCAGTGAGATGTCAGAATAATCCTCCTTACTACTGATGTAACAATGTGGATGGTTGTTGCCACTCATGACCAGCATTCAGAATTATATCAATGTTGTGCCAAAGACTTCACTAAGTCTGGCCACAACACATGGGAAGTGGCATGGATGTTGAAATGAACATGAAGCCAGATATTCAGTGAACAGTATAAAAATGAATTAAATGCAAAAATGCTGCCAGATGTAGTAAATGCTTGTGATGTGCAATCAAAATTACATGACTGCCCTCATGAACATACAGCTGGACCAAGATGACATGCATCAGTAATATTGAAATGAACTTAAGATATGAACTAAATAAATAATGAAAAGAGTGTGGATTGTTGACAACTGTTACCAACCCACCTTTTTACATAAATGGCACCTTTTGCTTAAAACTAATATTACCTTTACGCCACTTCAACGGTGGCATGTGTCAACTTTTCCATGAAAATGACACCCGAATGACACACGAGTGTTTGCATGTTCAAAGGTTTTGCACTGTGTTTGTTTTGAAATGATGGTCAAATAACAAAAATTGGGCTGATGAAATGTCTCACATTTTAAAATGTTCTTACCACACCCCATCCTCTGGAACACATGTTTCCCAGTAATGCCATTGCTAGTCAGATGCCCACAAGTTGAAAAATGATGTGTTATCTGGTGATTAACTCATCTGCATTAATCACTGCGCATCTGAGCAACCAGAGGTACGGAAATCGATTCCTCGCGGTGCCGGCCCTTCCTGCCAGGGTGAGAGGCAAGCGACGCCATACAGCCTCAGCAGCTGAGTGCGTCATAAAGTCCTAATGACACACAAGTTATCTGGACCACTTTTTGACAAGAAAGTTATATTCTTTTCTTACCATTCTACACTCACTATTGGCTGATGATCCATTATTGGGAATAATGCCATTGCTTTCACGGCAGGCTTTTTAACCTCCCACAGCAGATACAACACATGACATAATTTCGTCACAGCAGAACAATCACGGGCCGAATCGGCGTCCTTTCCCTCACCAGGTGCGTACCTCGTGCCGCAGATGTCGGAGGGCGCCGGTTTCTCGGACCTGGTGCAGCAGGCCGGTCGGCTGACCACCGACATGGACACGTCGGCCGAGCTGCCGCGCGTCGAGCGCAACCTCAAGCAGCTGCTGGAGGCTGGCCAGCAGCTGTGGGCGCGCACCGCGCAGGCGGGCGCGCAGGACGTCAAGGCGTGAGTGCGGGGGGAGGGGAGGGGCTGTGAAGATGGCACTCCAGGCCACCGCGCAGGACGTTCGGGCGTGAGTGCGGAAGGAGGGGGGGGGGGGGGGGGGTTGGCTGTGCGGGTAGCACCTGAGGCTAATGACGCTTGCTGGTATGGAACACCAAATGGCTCTCGACTTGTGGTGACATTGATGTATTCATGAAATTGATATTTTCACTTTGGGCGTTTCATCCACGGTATTCACTGTACATTCACACTTCGCCACCAGTTTTCTATAGAGTTCGTCGTGCTGCGTTTTACTGCGTTGACAGGGCCGCGTTTAGAGCCGTTTCTCATAAAAGTTGGCCGTTAATGACGGTAAATAAGGAGTTGTCTATGTCACGCCTAGTCAGCGACGGCGCTACATAGCATCATGTGACTCCGTAGGTTGATCAGCTATTTCGCGCTCCCTTACATCATAGAAGTCGTACTACATATAGCCTCGCGCGACCTCTCCGGGCAGATAAAGGCGTCACCAGTCGTCTCTGCTGCTCAGCTCGTGAACAGCCCTGGCCGGCCTCGCGCAACCCTATAGCCACGCGTATGAAGCTTGCGTCACCGCAGTTTCGTGTCTTCCCTCTCCCCTCCGTGGCCTTTGTAGCGATGTCACGTCGGCTCGGACCTGAGAGAATGCCCGGCTCGGGACCGCCGCCTCCGTCGCGCCGCGCTGCATCCGCCTCCGCTTCCGCCTCCGCCTCCGCCTCCGCCGCGCCGCCCGCCGACCGTTGGCCGGTGTCCGCAGCTCGATCCTGCTCGGCTCGAGGGGTGTCGACCTGCCGGCCATCTCGCAGCGGCTGGAGTCGCTGGACGCGTCGCGCACCTTCCAGCCGCTCGAGCCCGTCAAGGACACCGACATCGCCGGCTTTCTGCGCAACGAGCGCGAGAACGCCGTGCTCACCGTCATCGAGCAGTCGCGCAAACAGGTGACGTCATCCAGCCGTCCCGCAGACCGGTGACGCCATCCGGTCGTCCCGTAGAGCGTGGTACTCTCGCTCAGATGCTGGCGTCGATCTCTGTCCGCCTGTACTTGACGTTAAACGTGCTTTGGTGAGCGAATGGCATGCGCGCTGGGGCCTCTCGCTCGATGCTTGCAGAATTTCGGCGGAAACCCCTGCCTGGGCTGGCGCCTGCAAGGGCGATGTTATGGCCGTCCTATGTGCTATGTGGCTGGGACGTAAGCTACAGTTGTAGAATTTTGGCATTCAGCCGTTTTTACTGGAGACAACCATGGCCATTTTTTTGTGAGTGGCGCACTGTAGGGTTGTTATAATCCCAGTGCCATCAGTTTTCGGTTTTCCAAGTCTGCTGATTTTGTAACACTGCTGTGTGGGGGATTGCCACGAGTTTTGGCGTCGCTCCGTCGGCCCACACGTGGCTGGTAGCCTGAGGGTGCGCTGTCGTTGGCAGACATTCGACGAGGTGGACCGCTTCCACTGGGAGGCGTTTCAGTCGTGCTGGGAGTTGGAGAAGCAGCGCATACTGAGCACCCTGGCCACATCCGAACAAGGTCTTCTGAACGACACCATACAGCCTGAGGTAAGACGTGATGTCGCGATACGGCCTCAGGTAGGGCGTGGCGACACTATGCAGCCTGAGGTAGGACGTGACGTTGCCATACAGCCTGGGGTAGGACGTGATGTCGCCATACAGCCTGAGGTAAGACGTGACGTCGCCATACAGCCTGAGGTAGGACGTGACGACACCATACAATCCAAGTAGGACGTGACGACACGATACAGCCCTGAGGTAGGACGTGACAACACCATACATCCCCAAGTAGGACGTGACGTCTCCATACAGCTTGAGGTAGGACGTGGCGCCGCCACACAGTCCGAGGCACGACATAACGTCACCATGCGACCGAAAGTAGAACCTGACATAGCCATGATGTTTCGTGTAGTACGGAACGTCGCCGTACTTCCCAGCTTTGTGTCACACATCATCGCATAACTTGCGGTGGAATATTGATGGCGTTGGCCTCTGCCTCATCATCTCCGTGTTGGTCGCTCCTCTGATGGCGTTTTCACGGCGTGCGCCACTCGGGCGCGACGTAATCGACGCGCCGCCGCGCGGCGTCGGCCGTCGGCGCGCGCTGACGCCGCCGCCGGCCCCGCTGCCGCAGCTGTCGGTGAGCTCCGGCACCGGCCCGGCCGCCACCCGCAGCTGCCTCACTGCCCAGGAGCTGGCCTATGCCGGCGCCGTGGGCGACTACGTCAAGCAGAAGACGCAGGATGGCTCGCTGCCAGACCTGGGCCGGCTCTGCCGCGACGCCATGACCGAGCTCAAGGACGACGTGAGTGGGCTGGCGGAGCGGCTGGGCGCATAGCGGAATGCGGCTAGGATGAGAAGATCATCATTACGATTGGCTGGGCTGGTATCTGCCAGTGTCCGCAGCCTCCTACAAGCCAGGAGTCCACCGCGCAATGCCCTCAGCGACAAACCGGGCCGCGATAGTCTGTACGCATTGTCGTTGTTACGCGCGTCGGGCGCGCGCACGAAGCCCAGGCTGTCTACCGCGCATCTGTGTACGTCATACTTTGCGGAATGCGTCATACTTTCTGACGGGTATCGCCGCTGCACGTCGGATGTTTTCTTTCCTCTCCCACCACCCATCAGGCCATGCTGGGCTGGCTGGTAGAGAAGAGAAGCTCATGCGGTCGTGTTGCGTGTTTGAATTCACCTGCACGTGACTTATTTCTTGTCCCATTTATAGACAATGGGCGGTGGTTGAGCGATTGCTGCGATCGCGCATGTCCCAACATTTAAGATGACGCAAGCAAAGCCTTTAACTGCATGTGTGACGTGCGTTGCGACGATCAGACCGTCGTGTTTCTTAATTTGAACGTGATTGGGTATATAAAACACGTCACGTTTTGTGACGTCATCCGGATGTGGCGTGTCCTACGCGCCGAAAACTACCGTGTTAGCAAATAATTGGTAAAATATGGAAATAATGCAGCTGAATTTCCATTGCAAATCACTCATGGACCCCCCACAAGAAACAATGATATGCAGTTCGCCAATACCATACTTCGATAAGACAGTAGTCATAGCCTTAGTACTCGGAGAAAAAAACGAGGACAATGAAGATAAAGGTGCGTTGATATTTCGGCAACATGTCCTTATGGAAACCAATAGCAGAATTATTTCACTTAGATACGGACACACACACAGATAACGCTCCTGCTATTTGTTTCGATAAAGGCATGTTGCCGAAATGTCAAAATATCTATATCTCCATTATCCTGTTTTTTTCTCGGAGGAATAAGGCTATTACTACTGTGTTATCTATATGCATAATTTTTCCTCGCATATGCACTTAACAACTTACGTAGTACTTTACTGCATGCGCGAAGCCGTCCAATGAGGAACGACAGCTGGCCTGACTGTTCTACGATTTCGGCGATTTTTTTTTTTGTCCAACTGCCCAAAGCGTCAATTTCTTCTTTTATTCTAAACTCAGTGGAAGTAAACACATAATACATTTTCCAAAGATGGCACCCAAATGGGGCAAGTTGTATGCAAGACTTGATCTGACTGAAGCACTTGTGAAGCATTCTGCATGCCTGTAATTGCTTCATTTAGGTGTGGCTTTCTCCATCCATTGCCAGCATTCTGACATGTGACAACAGTCATGACCGTGGCATGTTGAGAGTAACATCGTGGCGCTGTAATTGATGAAAACGAACATTGCGACTGATGGTCGATGGTCCAGCTCTATGTCCACATGCGCCGTGCGTGACCTGAGCGTTCGGAAATCTTTAGCCCACGTGACTGACTCGAGCGGACCAATGACATCAGCGTCACGCTGAGCGCATCGTTACAACATCTCCCCCGCAACGTATAACACCCCGCTGGTAATACGCATCTCCCACGGCAAATGACGCATCGGCGGTTGGCGTTCGCCGGACCGCTTGCGCCAACATGGCACCGGGACTGTGGCCCGCGAGTGAGGCTCCGCCCGGCGCCGCCAGGTGGCCGAGGAGCTGTGGGACACGCTGCGCTGCGTGACAGAGGCGGAGGTGCGCGCGCAGGTGGACCGCTTCTCGGGGAAGGTGCAGGCGGCGCTCATCGACAGAGCCAAGCGTCACCTGGAAACGAGGCGAGTGTCAGCCGTGCCGCCGACGCGCGGCCGGGTCGGGCCGGCGCCTTTGTGCGGCGTCGGCGGCACCTCTCCCTCCGTAGTCGGTGCTTACACCGACGCTGTGCGCGGGCGTTGAGCCACGTTCGACCGCGACGCAGTGCTTCAGGACTTGTCTGTATAGGCTGTCCGCATGCACGCTGATCTATTGGGTGTTGATCAGGCGTACGTGCAGGGATCTTTTCAGAGAAGTCACTTGCAACTCACGGGAAGCAGTGGTCAATCATTTCCTGGGCGTTGCGCACATTCGCACTGTTCATTAAGTGTGATCACTGATGCCATCTTCCCACCGCCGCTGAAATACCGGTGCGCAAATGGGCAGCGAGTGAAACGTTTGAAGTGCGTCAGCGTCTGGCGAGGCGTCCCACCCCATCCAATTTCGGTGGAGCGAGGCGCGCAATCGTCGGCCGTAACGCCATGACATTTATGCCGGTGCGCGCGTTTCAGTTACGTGACGCGCCTGCAGCGACTGGTGGAGGCCAACCTGGCGGCGGCGCGCCGCGGCGGCCAGCCGGGCACGCGCCAGCTGGTGCGCGCCTACCTGGTCGTGCGGCCGCCGACGGGCGCTGCCGACGTCGTCACGGCCGACGGCCAGCCGGTCTGGGGCTGTCGTGCGCTGTACCGCGCCCCCGCGACTGGCGCTGAGGTGACGGGATCCTCGGCCTGTCGTCTGCCGCTCTGTCGTTGTCTCGGTCGTCGGTCTGGTCTCGGGGTTCGTTCTTGTGTGTTCTCTGTCTATCTCGTCCTCTCTCGGCCTGTCTTGTCTCTGTCGTGTCTCTGTCTCTGTCTCTGTCTCGTGTCTGTCTCTGTCTCTGTCTCTGTCTCTGTCTCTGGTCTCTGTAGTCTGTCTCTGGTCTCTGTCTGCTGCTGTCTCTGTCTCGTCTGTCTGTCTCTCGTCTCGTCTCTTGCTCTGTCTCTGTCCTGTCGTCGTCGCTCTGTCTCTGTCTTCTCTGTCTCCTGTCGTCTCTGCTGTCTCGTCTGCTGTCGTCTCTGTCCTGTCTCTGTCTCTGTCTGCGCTGTCTCTGGTCTGTGTCTCCTGTCTCTGTCCTTGTCTCTGTCTCTGTCCTCTGTCTCTCTCTCTCTATCTCTCTGTCCTCTGTCTCTCTGTCTCTTCTGTCTCTCTCTTCTCTCTCTCTCTCTCTCTCTCTTCTCTCTCTCTCTCTCTCTCTCTCTCTCGCTCTCTCTCCTCTCCTCTCTCTCTCTCTCTCTCTCTCTCTCTCTCGCTCTCTCTCTCTCTCTCTCTCTCTCTCCTCTCTCTCTCTCTCTCTCTCTTCTCTCTCTCTCTCTCTCTCTCTCTCTCTCTCTCTTCTCTCTCTCTCTCTCTCTCTCTCTCTCTCTCTCTATCTCTCTCTCTCTCTCTCCTCTCTCTCTCTCTCTCTCTCTCTCTTCTCTCTCTCTCTCTCTCTCTCTCTCTCTCTCTCTCTCCCTATCTCTCGCTCTCTCTCTCTCTCTCTATCTCTCTCTCTATCTCTCTCTCTCTCTCTCTCTCTCTCTATCTCTCTCTCTCTCTCTCTATCTCTCTCTCTCTCTCTCTCTCTCTCTCTCTCTCTCTCCTCTCTCTCTCTCTCTCTCTCTCTCTCTCTCTCTCTCTGCCGCTGCTTGTTCGATGTCGCTGTTTGGGGTTGCCCAGGGGGTTGACGGCGTCGGGACTCACACTGACGTATTAGTCGGCTTGTACACTGACACAGGTCAAGCGTTAGGCCTCGAGTTGGATATTGATCAACACTGACAGGTTGCTGGCTGTGTCTGTGTGGCCCCCCGGCTGGCCCGCTCGGCACGGCCCGTGCGCGCGCGCGCGGCTGTTGCGGCCGTCGCTGACGGCGACGCCGCCCGTGTCGCAGGCCGGCGCTGCAGGAGGTGGCCGACCTGCTGGCTAAGCTGGCGGAGGGCCGACCGAGGTCGACCGAGGACCTGTCCGTCGTCCGGCTGCAGTACCGACGGAGCGGCGGCGCCGGCGCCGACCCCTACCGACGGTCAGTCCAGAGCCTGCCTGACGGTCAGAGTCTGGACCCCTGCCGGCGGTCAGAATCCAAACAACTACCAACGGTCGAAGGCCTTACCCCTGGAGATGGTCAGAGTCCAGACTCTGGCAGGTAATCAGAGCATTTCCAGACCAAGCTGCACGCACTCTCTCTGGCGCCAGGCTGCGGTGAGGTAGCAGAGAGACGCTGGTGCGTTTTTCGCAGTGCGCTGCATTAATCTATGCAGGCTTAATGTCTGTTTCTGGTATTCGCGTCCTTTCTTTGGACGTAGCTTGTCTACTATCGGAATGGAAGGCGAGGACCTCAAGCGACCAGATCCAAACCGCAGAACACCCTCTCCCTTTCAAAAACAAGTGCTGTAATCCCATCCCAGGCGTTTAAGCAGCACTGCCACTGGATGCATCTAAACATTGACCGTGGTAAGGCGTGCTTTATGTCGCGCGCACGCCGCCGCTGGCGGTGTTTTACTGGGGCAAGTGTGCACCGCACACGGCGCTGAGGGTGACTGGGTTTTCCCAGGGCGGTGTACGCGGCTCTGGGTGCGGCGGACCCGGCGGAGGACCACGCCGAGGCCACCAGTGACCTACACACGAGCACCGACGACTTCCTCTGGCTGAAGCTGAGCGCGCTGACGGCGCTGGGCGGCGAGGACCAGCTGGAGGCGCTGGCGCAGCTGCAGACGGCGCTGCTGGAGAAGTACGGTACGTGTCCCGTCACGGCCCCGGCCCCGGCCCCGGCCCCGGCCCCGGCCCCGGCCCCGGCCCCGGCCCCGGCCCCGGCCCCGGCCCCGGCCCCGGCCCCGGTCCCGGCCCCGGCCCCGACTCTACCGGTCCCCGGCTGACTGTGGCGGTTGGTGTTTGTGGTCGCGTCGATTCCGATGGTGCTGCGGTGCGTCACCCCAGTGCGGGAGACTGACGAATGGGAGGCGGGTGGCCTGCGATCCGAGACGTTAACCTGTGTGTGGACTGACGGCTGCCGGGGAGGGTCGTAGGCCGCGCAGCGCTGGGCAGAGGGCGTGCCTTGGTCTGGAGGGTCGTGTGGTTGAGGACGTTCATCAGCGTCGAGTGCAGGCTCTTCTGCTACATTTGGCGTAAGGGATGTGACTCCACTGGTTGTGGTTGCACTGGTTGTGGTTGGCTGTGTTGGTGATGCCCGACTGCGAGGGCTTCTCGGTGGCAGGCGGGTCCCACGAAGATGGTTAATCATGCGGACTCGTACCTTACCTTGAACAGCAGGCAGTGTTTCAGCTTGTGGCGCGGGTTTCGGTTCCAAGACGTGAAGTGACGCACCCTTGAGGAAAATCGTCAGCTGTTCACGCTCCCCGTCACGCAGGCGAGTCCTACTTCGACGCCTACAACCAGCCGACGCTGTACTTCCGTGTCCTGCTGCTGTCCGGCCAGCTGGAGGCGGCGCTCGAGTTCCTGGCGCGCGTGGAGCAGCTGCGCCCGCACGCTGTGCACATGGCGCTGGCGCTGCACGAGCTGAGCCTGCTGCAGCTCGCCAGCTCCACCCAGGCGGCGCTGCGTGAGTGCTGTCGTCTGAGTTTGGCCGGCCGTCGCACACTGGAGCCGGGCATGGGGCGTGCGGACATAAGTGTCGAAGAGGGATGGGGGAGGGGGGTTGACAATGTTCGTCGTTCAATCCGTGCTGTCATGTTACGCCTTAGGTGCGTACGTTACAGAGGAGCACTTAGTACGGAGTTCGATTCCCCGCGGTGCCCGCCCTTCCTGCCAGGGTGAGAGGCAGGCGACGCCATATAGCCTCAGCTGCTGAGTGCGTCGTAAAGCCCCAATCACACACACGCACACACAGAGGAGTACTTACGCCCCCATTCCGCTGGAGGAGTCCTTCGTGAGTTTGATGTAGTCGATGCAACATAATGATGAAGATGCATTCGATGATGTACTCGATGGAGTTCGACGCGTGCCACACCGTCACTCCTTTCACCGATGGCATAGTACCGCCACGTGACTCGTCGAGCCTGCGCGCGCCCGGGAGTGACAAGCGTGGCGCGCGCGCCGTCCGCAGTGTCGATTGATCCGAGCGGGCGGCAGCCGCGGCGGCGCCTCAACCTGGCGCGCCTCGTGCTCATGTACACGCGCCGCTTCGAGTCGGCCGAGCCGACGACGGCGCTGAACTACCTGTTCCTGCTGCGCCGGCTGCCGCACAGCCGTCCCGACGACACGTTCTTCGCCGCGGCCACCGCCGAGCTGGCGCTCCAGTCGGGCAGCTACGACCAGCTGCTGGGCCGGCTGGGGCCCGACGGCAAACACCAGAAGGGCGCGCTCGACCGGTGAGCGATCGACGCCGCCTGCGGGGGGGGGGGGGTGGGGGGGTGGGGGAGGGGTCGGCCGCCGGACGGCCCTGGCGAGGCCGCACCAGTGGCGAGCTGCGCAATATGTCCCCTGGCGCTGGCAGCCGTGGCTCAGCACGCTGGCCGACGGCTGCGGCGGCCAGCCTGATCCACGGCGGCTGGTGTGTGTGGGTGTGCAGTCAGCTGGTGTGTAGGTGTGCAGTCGGCTGGGGTGTGTGTGGGGGGGGGGGGGGGCTGCAGTCAGCTGGTGTGTGTGGGTGCAGTCTGCTGGTTTGTGGGGGTTCTCTCAGCTGGTGTGTGTGGGTGCAGTCGGCTGGTGTGCGGGGGTTGCAGTCAGCTGGTGTGCGGGGGATACGGTTGGCTGGTGTGTGGGGGTGCAGTCGGCTGGTGTGTGGGTTGCAGTCAGCTGGTGTGTGGGGGTGCAGTCAGCTGGTGTGTGGGGTGTGCAGTCAGCTGATGTGTGGGATGTGCAGTTGGCTGGTGTGCGGGGATGTGGTTGGCTGGTGTGTGGGGGTTGCAGTCAGCTGGTGTGTGGGGGTGCAGTCGGCTGGTGTGTGGGGGTGCAGTCAGCTGGTGTAGGGGGGGGGACTGCAGTCGGCTGCTGTGTGGGATGTGCAGTCGGCTGATGTAGGGGGGGGGGGAATTGCAGTCAGCTGGTATGGGGGGCTGCAGTCGGCTGGTGTGGGGGTGCTGCAGTCGGCTGGTGTGTGGGGATGCAGTCAGCTGGTGTGTGGGGGTGCAGTCGGCTGGTGTGGGGCAGCAGTCTGGGTGTGCGAGGGTGCAGTGAGCTGGTTTGCGGGATTCTGTCAGCTGGTGTGTGGGAGTGCAGTCGGCTGGTGTGCGCGGCGTGCAGCCGGCTGATGTGTGGGGGTGCAGTCGGCTGGTGTGCGCGGTGTGCAGTCGGCTAGTGTGCGGGGTGCAGTCGGCTGGTGTGTGGGTCTGCAGTCGGCTGGTGTGCGGGGTGCAGTCGGGACGCCCCAGCTCAGCCTTGGATACTTGGTTTGTCTCAGTTTGCGGTGCTGTATCTTCAGTCGCGTTGTCGGACAGGTTTTTACGGACGGTGTGACGCGTGCGATGTGACAATTGCGGTGTGACAAGTACGGTGTGACGAGTGCGGTGAGTGGTGGTGGCGGTGCCGGTAGGTACGACTTCGACACGCGCCCTGTGATCGAGCGCGTGGCGGCCGAGAGCGAGAACCGCGGCCAGCTGGAGGACGCCGTCCAGCTGTACGACCTGGCCGGCAACCACGACAAGGTGCGTCCCGCGACGGCCGGCGGCGCGCCGCCCCCGCTCGGCGCCGCTGCGGGGCCTCACCTCGGCGGGCTGGGTGCTGGTCAGAGAGAGCCAGAGACGGGACACGACGGAGGCTGGGTGCTGGTCAGAGAGAGCCAGAGACGGACCCGACAGAGGCTGGGTGGTGGCCGGTGAGAGCCGGAGACGGACCCGACAGAGGCTGGGTGCTGGTCAGAGAGAGAGCCAGAGACGGACCCGACAGAGGCTGGGTGCTGGCCGGTGAGGGCCGCAGCGGATCTGTCGGGCCGGGAGCGATGGTCGGCGCGTGGGAGATCCGAGACACCAGACACACGATGTCCTGCGTGGGAAGGCGGACCGCTTCGCTTCGGCGGTGTGATCTCTCGGTAGCGTCATGAAGGAGGGCGACAGGCAGGCGACGATCCGGAATTTGACTCCTAGAAGACGGAAGTCTGTCGCTAAAATTATGTTCCGACGCCTGAAAAAGCACGAAGTGTGGTGCAACAGGCATCACGTTATTTGTGCTATCGTCTTGACATCCCTAACTGAACCGTGCTCAAATTTTCATGCTCGAAGGTTAGGTGGGACGTGACGTTCGCATGGTGTGACGTAGAATGCGCGGCGTTTTTTCGTTGAGGCCAGCTGACGCTTTCTACATCGCCAGGCTGAGATCGAGATGAGGCGTAACTAAACTGCAGCGTTTATAACCTTGAGACGTACAAGACGTACGTGCGTACTTACACGACATGGTCTTTCTTTAAAGTGAAGAAAAAGGCGCTGAGCGCGGGGCAGCGCCGCTGCTTTGCGCCACATCGGGCGTGTTGCGCTCGCCGCGCATGAACCCAGCACTACCACCTGGTGAGAGCGGCGACAAATGACGCCGCGGGCATGCGCCGCCAGAGCGGCCTGCGCCCGCGGCGTCCGAGTGTCACGGCGCCGCTGCCGCAGGTGCTGGAGCTGCTGAACCGGCTACTGAGCCAGCTGGTGTCCCGACCGGCGGCACCCGGCTCGCGCCGCCAGCGGCTGCAGCAGACGGCCGTCGCCATCGCCAAGCGCTACAAAGATCACGGCACCAGCGCTTCTCCCGAGGTACGCCGCCGCGGCGGTCTCTGTCTGCCCGGACGGGCGCTGAGCCTGCTCAGCGCACGGTGGCTTGACTGACGACGGTGTGACGGCGAACGGCAGTGGCTCTCCCTCATCCGGCGCTCACACCAGCGCTCGGTACGCGCCGAGGCGTCCCGTTCGCAACCACTTGACGCCCCGCGCACGCGGTACGGAGTGCGCTGACCTGATGCAGACGCGATACAGAGTACGTGGTACAAGGCATGCTGGCTGGCTGCGCTGACCTCGGCGCGCTCCGTCCCGGCAGGCCACCGGCACGCTCTACCTGCTGCTGGACCTGATGTCGTTCTTCGACCTGTACCACCTGGAGCGCGGCGACGAGGCGCTGGAGGTGCTACGCCGGCTGCGTCTGGTGGCGCTGAGCGGCGATGAGCTGGAGCGCCGGCTGGCTGAGTTCGACCGGCTCCAGGAGGAGGTGGGTGACTCCCGCGCGGTCCTCATGTGTCCCACGTGGTACCCGTGTGTTCCGTGCGGCACCCGTGTGTCCCGCACGGTTCCCACGTGTCCCGCGCGGTACCCGTGTGGCCCGTGCGGTCCCCATGTGTCCCGCGCGGTTCCCATGTATCCCGCGTGGTACCCGTGTGTCCCGCGCGGTTCCCATGTGTCTTGCGCGGTCCCCCATGTGTCCCGCGCGTACCCCCCGTGTGTCCCGCGCGGTTCCCACGTATCCCGCGTGGTATCCGTGTGTCCCGCGCGGTTCCCATGTGTCCCGCGCGGCCCCATGTGTCCCGCGCGGCCTCCATGTGTCCCGCCCGGTCCCCATGTGTCCCGCGCGGTTCCCCATGTGTCCCGCGCGGTTCCCCATGTGTCCCGCTCGGTCCCCCATGTGTCCCGCGCGTTCCCCCATGTCCCGCCCGTCTCAAAGAAGGAAAGCCTGCTGCATTCGGGCTAAGTCCAGCTGCACTCCTCAGCTGGTTCAGGAAAAGTGACGCATATCAAAGGTTCACACAGTGGTACCACTTCCTTGGCGGAACTCACCGTCGTTTGCGCGGTGGCGAGTTGTTTGAGGTTTCTGGTGTGTGTGTGACGAGCACAGCATGCAGTGTTCTCCGGGACGACGCCCCCCCCCCCCCCCCCGCTTGTGTGGCGGCGTTCACGTGTGTGACCGTCTCCGCCTGACCCGTGTGTGAGCATCTCCCGTCTGACCCGTGTGTGTGACCATCTCCGTCTGACCCCGCGCCTCCCGCGCCTCCGCGGCCAGGTGCGCCGCTGCGTACCGGACGTCCTTCTGGCGGCCATGACGCTGCTGCACGGCGCCCAGCGTCAGCTCGGCGAGGTGCGGCCGATGGCGCGCGCTCTCGTCACGTTCGCCGGCAGCCTGCCGTACCGGCTGCCTGGCGACACGCACGCTCGGCTCGTGCAGATGGAGGTGCTCATGACCTGACGGCCGGGCAGGCCGCGCAGGGCCGGCTGGGCGGGTCGTCATGTTGGCGCCCGCCGTGTCCACTGTACCGTTTTTTTGTCTGGAATACACGGCGGGCCTTGCTGAACGGCTGTGACGCGCGCGGTGACCCGAGAGTCATGCCCGGATACGAGTGGCCTGGATTGACTGGACTGGTCGCGGGGAAGGAACATGCGGTGCGGGTTTTGGGGTGTTCTGACTTGTTCGAGAGCGTCAGCATGTGTGCGAGAATCAATTTATCCAGTGTTGCAGGGGTTAAAGACTTGACGCCATTGGGAAACACAATGGCGAAGATCAGTGCGTGAGGTAGGAAATAGTACATTGCCACTGAATGCTTCCACCAACCCGCCCTTTGCCAATTCGCAGATTTAGAGGTGGGCATAGTAGCAATTGTTGGGCGCATTATGATTCTTCTGGACGCCTCTAACGTTGCTGGTAATCGCAGGTAAACTAGACAGAGCAATCGAAAAGAGCCGCGAATGCTTACTGCACGTGCGCACAATGCTATTTCTACACGTGCACATTGCAATATATATATATATATATATATATATATATATATATATATATATATGCATCTCTCATAACTAAAAGTGGTGAGATCAGGACGACGTGCTGCCAATAACAGCAGCCCCACCTTTTGATTGTACCAAATTAGTGCTCCCGCAGAGTCAATCCCTTCTCCGTGCCGGTTACAGAGGTTACCCAATCTAATGAGCTCGGGGTTCTCACGCTAAGCTATCGACCTTCAATATGCCTGGAGACACTGCGTAGAGGGCGGTGTGGAAGGAGCATGAATAGCGTTGCCAATACTAGACGTTTAAATGTGTGTTAGTGATAACAAGTGATTACAGCTGATCTATCATGAACAAGCGTGATTAAACGTGATCTCTCGTAATTAAAACCACAGCTTTGAAGCTTAGTGTTCACAATACAACCCATGTTCTGTCTAGCGTCGTTAACCTAGGAACTAACTCCTGTTAACTGAAGACCTATAAGTCAGCATAACAACTGAATTCATAATGCCGACAACAACAGAAAATGGAGGCCTTTCGTGCTGATATCTAGTGTTTGGTAGTTTTGTTTGGTAGCGCATCCGGTACAATGGCGTGCAAACTTGCAGTTTTGAAATAGCTTACGTAGGGCGACAGCTGTGATCCCATCCTTCCACTGTCTGCACGTTTTCTTCTTCCACGAGGTCAAGGAAGTGTCATCCTGAAAACACTGGCAATTGACACTCCATGTTAGCGCGCAAAATTTGCCGCATTGTACGTTACGCTTTCCCCTCCCTCCTCCCCCCAACAAAATCAAACGCGAACGGTCTCTCACCCCACGACGCCATCTCAAAGACTGGGGCCCGTCATGAATTTCCAGAGTGTGCTCCTGACATCTGATTGTCATTTGGACGTAACGTAGCGACAACAAGGTGTGCTCAGCTTAAAGGGAGTGTTCAGTATTTGTATAAGGTTTGAACTGAGATAGGCCTAATATCATTTGGTGCAGCCCACATGCATACCCTTTTTAAGGCGTAACATCTTGTTTCTGGACTGAATATGAAATTACACCACTGAATGCAAGTAAACTATATGGGACCACTGACCAATGTGTAAGTACACCACAGAAGGGGTCAGAGCACGCGCACATAATAATATAAAGGTTTTGCAAACACGCCCAATTCGTACGTCACCTCTCGACGGGTTTAAGTACTACGAGTGAGTTAGCCTGTCCGCTACAGTGGCAATTCTGGCACGGCCACCTGGCAGCCACTTCGACGTCATAATATAAGCGCCCCATGATATAATAAAACGGTGACATATTGAGCGGATTATTTTTCTAAACAGTGAAATATTTTTGTCCAGAGCGGTCTTGCGCGCTTTAAAACCCTTCAATAGTTATAAATGAGCTTATTTAATCATATCTGATGATTGCCTTAATATCCTCAAATGAAACATTGAAACAATGAAATGAAACAATGAAACATTTCCTTAAATCAGACAAAAGCGCAGCCCCTTTGGGATGTAGTACTCGCTTCATTTAGTTTGTTACTCCTCCACCCGGCGCACCCGGTGGGTTCAAATTCCTTCGACGTTGCCGATATGTCGGTGTGTTAATAAGCTGGACACATCTTTTCGATCACGCGGCTCATTCACACAGCCTCTCACCAGTTCCGATCCGAAAGTGTCATTTCAGACAAAGCCTGCTGCTCGCTGACTGCAGCAGGCATCGCATGTACGGAGATACTTGCCGGTGCGGGTCAAAATATAATACTCGTTGTCTAACCCGGTGTTGACCGGGGTATTCAGCCGCCGCAGGCTGCTTGAGCGTGGGGGGGGGGGGGGCGGGCGGGGGAGTCAATAACCTACTGGGAAGGCGACTCCTTAAAGCATCGCAGTCGCTGCAGTTGATGGAGCTTTGTTGTCATTAGGGCTTTACGACGCAGTCAGCTGCAGACGGTACATGGCGTCCGCCGCCGCTTACCCCGGCAGGAAGGGCGGACACCGCGAGGAATCGAACCCGCCTTGGGCGAATTTGGGCGAGAACTGTGCGGTCACGGTGGGGGATCGCGGGCCGCCCTCGGCGCCCGCCACGAGTTGGGGCGGCGTCGGGGGGGGGGGGGGGACTCGCGAGAGTCAGCACCCCTACCGCTCACCTTCGACTGGAAGCAGGGGAGCGCCGCGGCCCGGCGCTGCCACACCATCGTACCTTAATAACTATCCCGAAGTTAGAGCATCCTTTAACCGCCACGGCTCGGCGTTGTCCATGCCGCCGTACTCTAATAACTGCCCTGAAGTGAGAGCATCTGTTTATCAAACAACGCCTGGTTGACCTGTTTGATGTATTTCGCACGCGAACCAACAAGTTTGGTGTTGAATCACTCTGCCTGCCTGCGGGTCAGACATCAATCAACCCACACAGCACAGCGGCTTTCCGTGGACGGGCCCGCGAGCGAAAACAATACCCATCCACGCGCACGACCGCCGTCAGCAGCCGAGCTGGCGAGCATTCGTGGGAGCGCGGCCGGGGGAAGCGGACACCCTCAGCAGTAGGCGGCGTCCTGCGTGGACTCGACGATCCAGCGGTAGGAGTAGTGCAGCTGGTGGAAGACGCCCGGGATGACGGGGCCGCAGGCCGGGCCGCCGTTCACTACACCGTCAGCCACCCAGCGGTCGCCGACGCGCAGGATCAGCGCCGAGCCGATGTCGCCCTGTCGGGCGCCCGATGCGGCCGGTTACTAGGCTTGCACCCGCGGCGTTGGATAGATCCGTAAGATCCGTGAGATCTCAAAGTTGGTCTGTAAGATCTCTGAACTCAAGGTAAGATTTCTAAACTTGTTGGGTAGATCCGGAGGATCGAAAGATCTCGAACCTTACGTAAGATCCGTAGGGTTTGAGAAACCAGTCCAGTCAAGCGTCGGTAATGTAAAACAATGGTGAAAAAATTAAAGGTGAAGCACAAGACACCACACAAATCCAATCAAATCGCCTAGATAATCGGTTTAGACTATGTCCTTTACACATACTGGTTGAGTGAGAGGCTTAAATAGATGCAATGCAGAGACGGATGCAGACAGTTGGGCGGTTTCTGATGATTTATAGCGGATTCGCCCCTTTGTGTACCAGAACATCTGCCCAGATGTGTTCGAGGTGGCCGATAACTTCCCACCTGTTGGACCCTATGGAGCCCAAGCAGTGAGTCTTCCACCCTAGCCACCACAGAAGAGACCACGGCCTGTGCAAGGTCCCCCCCCCCCTGCTCACGTCCGCCACTTCTCGCTCACGTTGCATGAGTCGTAGATGAAGCCGCCATTTTGACGCGCTGCGCGCGCGGTGGCCGACATTGTTCTGTTGGCGGCATCTCTCTGGACGAAGCCGAAGCCGAAGCGGAAGCCGCACATGTTGGTGTTGGGGAACATCCAGAGGCCGGGTAACATGGGTGAGCAAGCGGAGAAGAACGGCGTGATGATACGGTTCTCCTTAAGCACCAGACCCCTGAAACCGGCCTGTCGGGGGGGGGGGGGGGCACTACGTGTCAGAGGAAGGTCCGAGGTCACAAATGGACAGGTCAGAGCAGGCAACGAGCTTAGTCAGGTGGCGCGGAGCAAAACCAGCAGGGGATTAACCGTTGGCGAGTGCAGCGCAGCTGCAGCAGTGGCGGGACTTTCCAAAAGACTGGGCACCAAAGGAGCTTTTTTCTTGTTGACATAATGTTGTTCATTCATCGCCATTCGCCTGATAGCATAATCCGATGCATGGGGTGGGGAGGGGGGAGGGGCTGGCATTCCAAAAGTGTACGAAACATCACCGCTGCGGCGCAATGAACTATAAAGAATTCGGTGAACAACTGAAGCGAACTCGATAGAATCGCCACAACAAATGGCGCAGCCTGGGAGGGTGCTGCAGCAACACCAAACTGCACACCGACTCCCGCCACTCTTGTGGCAGCCTGTGTGACATATCTAACGCTCGTCGCGGGTTTGGGATCATTAGGGATGAAGTAACTGAGCACCTACTGCTGAAGCGAGCGCCATTCGCATCGCAGGTTTCTTGCCAGAAAGAGTATCTGGCAACTCTCGCCTGGTGGCTAAATCTTAAGTGGCGTACCCTCGGAGAGAAAATGCTTTAGAATGGTTGATCCAGTCCGTGGCCTTAGAGCACCTTTTGAACCTGCGCCCTGAAAAACGACATGTGAATCTCAAGTGCATTAGGTTTGCGTGAGATATAATTGGCGAGTCGATGACAGTACTTAATCCAAGTGCTTCTTTGGGTAACTTTAGCACTGGGTCTGGTCAGAGGAGGAATGCCTCAGAGCGGGTGTAACCGCGGCAACCTCAACGCAGCGCGTTCTGCTAGGGAGGGCACCTGAAAGGAGGCCCCCAGGTCGTGACCTTAGCGGAGAGTCCGCTCCTAGGGTGAGTACCTGGGGGGAAGTCCCCAACTCGCGACATCTCTGGAGTGCCTGCTCCTAGGAGGGTGAGTACCTGAGAGGAGGTGCCCCAGCCGGTTATGGTGTGCACGGAGAACCTCTGGTAGGGGGCGTCGCTCAGGCAGACGGGCCGTACCCTGGTGGTCAGTGGCACTGGCGGCTCGAAGCGCAGCACAGCAATGTTGTACTGGTCGAAATACTCCGAGTACAGTGGATGGATCTTTACCTGCCCGGAGCACCACCGATGAAAAATGTCAGTCGGGAGATGCTTGACGTCTGAGCTTGGTATACATCGTTACTCTGTACCCACCCTACACCAGATAAACCAATCATGGGGCGAGCAAAAAAATCCAACACCACGGATTCGAACGGTCCAACTCCAAGCGCTTTTCCCGACAACACCAAATATTCCTCGAGCCTCTCCATCCAGCGAGAAAACGTCCTGTTGTCCAGCAGCTATGCTGCATAATCTGACTGACTGACTGATCAGACTGATCTCTCCGCCCCTGGTCACCGTGCCACACCGCCTCCCAAGCCCACTCACCGTAGTCACGGTTCGGCGCAGGGCAGACGATTCCGGCGCGCCCAGGACGTGGCGCCCGAGCAGCACCTGGCTGCCGCTTCCGGCCTCGCCCGCGCACCACGCGGATGTTACCACGTACCGGTCATTGATGAGGGCGGCGCCGCAGAAGGGCACCCCTTGGCCGTAGCGGACGAGCGCAGCCTGCAACGGCGCTGCCGTCACACGCGCGTCATAAAGGGCACCAGATGACCGCGTTCGACCAGAGCTGTCTCGATCCGTGTTATGTCCGTCACGGCATCGTAAACGTCGCCAAAGTCTCACCGCTTGTGTCGCCTTTGGTAGCACCGCTCTCGCCACCTTTGGTACCACCACTGCCCCCGAGGTACATACAAGTTCCTAGCAAAAAAGGATGCGGTCTGACATCCCTTGTAAATCGCTGCTAAAGAATGACGGACAAACTGTCTTACTAAGCCTGGTGATCTTTGTTTAGGGCGGCCGATTTTGATAACGCGGACTAATGGGGGTGGGGGAGGGTGTCGACGCGAACCCCTGACCTTCCCAGATCACTAGAGATAGAGCTAAGCGGAAGGCGCCAGTGGACTCGTCTCAATGAGATCTCGCAGCTTGAATTTGTATGTTGTTGGATAATTAGTTGACCACATTTTGTCAGGTCAAAGGTTACATTTTCGGAAGAAATCCCATTTTTCAGCTTCACATCATACATACAAGACCACGCCTTCTGGCGACAAAAGCGCTAGGCAGGTATGCTCCTTATTCAGCTCTGAGCACAATGATGTATACGTGTTTGTGTATTAAGCGCATGTTCATGACACATGGCCCCGTTAATGTAACAAGGCTGGCCCGCTGCACGCGTTCCACGGCGTCGTCAGTTACCACCTGCCGCCCTCGCCGGCCATAGATCGCTATGCACTGTTCCAAAAAAGCGTAGCTGCTCCGGAGCCAAAAAAGCTAGAACAATGTTTGTGGTGTCAGAACACGCGCAATGAGTGTTTCATTGGCTGCTGAAAATTTGCGCGCGGTGAGGCCAGAGAGGCATCGTCAAAAACGCTATGGAAGGGTCACATTAGCCTCCACTATCAGGCAGAGGGTTGCAAAAGCGAAATCAGCCAACGTCTTCGTAAGAGTGGTTAGAAAATTTTTTAGGAGACCGACGTATTCTACAGGCATGTGGTTCTGAACTGCATAAAAAGCGAACAAACGGGCGCAACCTTTCGGTTATTACAAGCCTATCATATTGTATGTCATCTTTCTTGCGCTTTTTTTGGCCATTTCAAGTTGGTACCAAGCTAAATTCATGTTTCGTGCATAATGCTTGCGAGGAAATGGGTTTAATAAACAGTAGGGAATGGTTTAAGTCTGAATAGGAATCCACCTAGCAAATGTCATCAGAGAAAGCAGTTTCAACTCCTTGCGTTCAGGTCTCCATTGTAAGGGAGTCACAAATGTCCATTGAAAAGGCGGTACGCAAGATTCCTGCTGGTTGTGCGTGGACACTGGTGTGGAGTGACTGTTGACGAATGAGCGCTACTGGCAAAAAAAAAACAACTTTAAACTGTTAATGTACCCTTGCCTCTCTTGTGGGGACTGGGCTGAGCGAGGCACTCACTGGCAAAACTATCACGCAAGCTGTTAGAAATCTGCTACACAAATGCAGTACCTCAAGCTCCTTAACAAAATAGCTGCCATTGCTGTTATGCGTTGCTGGGACAAGCACGACTTCAACGCCGAAAAGGTAGAATAAAGGTTTCCTGAAGCACTCGGCGTTTAGCGCGTTTTATGCGTCCCCACCTGAAATCTTTCCTGCTTTTCATAAAATAAACCTACGACCCGAACAATCTTTTAGCGGCCAAGTTATCAGCGTGACTGATGTGACTTCCTAGATGCTCAATCTATCACACATCGGCAATATTTTTGACGACTGTCATTGGAAAGAACATGGCCAGTTACGGAGACATGCAGAAAACTGGGAAATATAACTGCCCAAATGTAACTAGCTTAACGTTTATAACTAACTAAATATGATATCATCTACGCCCCGTGACGTCACAGACGAGGGTACCGTGCCTGAACGCATCACTATCGTATGCTCGTCACTCATAGGGTCCACAAGAAGGCAAAAATGTGCCTGATTTTTGGAAGCGTCAAGACCAAACCCCCGCCAAACAGAACAGCTCTAAACATTGAGATAAGGCAAGTTTTTCCGCATCTAATTCAGAGACAATTGGCGATCTCCGTCGTTTTGTAGCCTCTGGCTGTGACGTCACGTCCACACGGTGACCGAAATCTCGCCGCCGCGGGGCGCTGCTGTGACCTCTGCACTCACCGCCCAGGGATACTCGTGGGGACTGGCGTAAACTCCGCCGGCCATCCGCCGCCGCCGTCCGTAAGCGCTGGAGTAGCCGCAGCAGCTCGACGTCTCTGGCGTGCCCTGGTGGGGCGGCGCCGCCCGCTGCCGCTCGGAGCGGCGGAACGCCACCACCCGGCGCAGCCAGCGCCGCAGGGCGGCCCGTGGGAGGTCGCCGCCAAGCGGCGCCAGCTGCGGGCGCGTCAAGCCGCCGCTAGGCGGCGCCAGCTGCGCGTCCGTCCACCCGGTGCTCGCCGGTGTCGCTGCTGATGGCGTGGAGCTGTTGACTCCCGTGCCGGTGGCTGTGATGTTCGCCGGGGACAGCCACCCGGCGCCGTTGTCCGTGTCCGGAGACGGCCGCCCGGTGCTGTTGTCCGTGTCCGGAGACGGCCGCCCGGTGCTGTTGTCCGTGTCCGGAGACGGCCACCAGGTGCTGTTGTCCGTGTCCGGAGACGGCCACCAGGTGCTGTTGTCCGTGTCCGGAGACGGCCGCCCGGTGCTGTTGTCCGTGTCCGGAGACGGCCACCAGGTGCTGTTGTCCGTGTTGATGATCTCTTGTGGCGGCGTGGCGACATTTGGGTCGAATATCTCTTCGTTCAGAGCGGCTGTCTGAAAGCAAAGCTTTTGTCCTGTAACGTGCTGGGACGGGACGTCAACATCAAAACTGTCCGGTTTTTGCCGTGACTTTTTATTCCAAAAGGTCACGGTGAAGTAATGAGTCAAAGACGGCAGCATTGTCCACAGCACCAGCATGTTGTAGTCAGGGCCATCGTCCAACCCCCTCATCATCTTTCTCTTGCTTTATCCTGAATCTTCGCGTCGGCCACGAGTGGACCGAGAGGCCCCCTGGAGAGAGCCCCGACCGGAACCTCAGCGCACGCTCTGGAGGCCCCTGGAGAGGCCCCAACTGGACGCTCAGCGCATACTACGAGAGGCCCCCTGAAGAGAGCCCCCAACCGGACGCTCAGCACACACTCCGAGGGGCCCCCTGAAGAGAGCCCCCGACCGGACGTTCAGCACACACTCCGAGAGGCCCTCTTGAGAGGCCCCCGACCGGACGCTCAGCGCACACTCCGAGGGGCCTCTGCGCGGGTCTAGGTTCGCGGTTGGGCCCTCAAGCGCATGTAGTCCTGCCCCGCCGTTACCCATTCTCCTCCATTCCATGACCCAATGATCATGTCTGGTCGAACGGGCTCCAATTTAGACATCCCAACAACCAATCCTCGTCGTGTCCAGATAGTGACTCCGGGACACGCTCCCCATCCTTTGTTTTTAACTGATTGTCTGTAATGCCATGTTGACACTTAAAAGGAGTGTCCCACGTTTGCGACATATTGCAAAAACACACTCTAGTGGAATTTCACGACTAGTTATGTCTGATAATGGCACTAGGTAGTGCAACTGTAGCACCGTCAAGGCAAAACAAAGTTTTAGTTTTAGTTTTATTTGCATTAAGGTTTTTCAATTCGAATTATCTTCATGTCCAAGGTACATTGTCAACGCTCTGCAACAACACTTCGTCTTTTCCTTGCAGTCGCGATCCCCGTCTCCATGACAACCACCGTGTGCTCCTGGAGCGAATAAAAGAACATTTGTCATTGGCCCGGCGGCCTTCGCTCTGTTACCGAGAACTGGTTGAAGTTTGAAATGCGCCTCGAGAAGACCCACTGGGGTGAACGCCATAGAAAGCAGACCTTTAATGAGGGTATGAAACAAGGGAGAAATGAAAGGTCATAGTAAAACACTTCGTTGAAATCGCGGGGTAAATGCTTCCTGTTCGCATGTCTTTTTGTCTGAGAGAGTGTTTGAGTGTCTGAAACAGAGTGTTCCAGGGTTTCGTAGCATTTATTGCATAAACATTTTGACGCATTAATATGTTTCAAACATGATAGAACACACACGTTGGAAAAGGAAGGCAAATGAAACGCATTACTTTCGAAGTGGTGAGCAGGGAGTGAAATGAGATTTCTGCGGCAAAGGGTCGTCTGCTTGAAATCGCAGTTGTGAGCTGTTCAGAAGAATTTCGAGGAAGCTGGTATTACTGTTCAAATCGTACGCACCTGACGTAAAAATATGTGAAAAGTACAGCAAAAAGGTGAGATACTCCCTTTAAGCTATTGGGACGGACTTGCAAAAACAAGCAGATTAAGAACATGCCATATCATCTGAAGTCGTGCAACAAATTTTGCGCGCATGACTTGCACGAAATTCGTCGCACATTCAGTTTTGACCAGACCCGAGTTATCTCTCACTGCAAAATTTTCTGTTTCCGTTCGCTACAATGTCATATAACATGCGTGAGTCGGCCCTAGCAAATTTCACGTGCTCCAGATTGGTGAGGCCCGAGGGCCTTCGCTTTATTAGCAATACACGAGTTGGGTATTGATCAATACACTTTCGCCAACTGTTTGAAAGCAGCGTTCCAATTTCATTCGCCTCTCACCGTCAGCGTTGCAAAGACAGCAGTGGCCAGTAGGCAGAAGTGGCCAAGGCCAGCCATTCTCTTCTCTTCAGCCAGTCCTCAGCGGACTCCCACTCCCATACTACTGTGAAGATGGACCTCGTCCACCCCAGGTCCGAGACCGCCCTGGCACGCACAAAAACTGGACCAGGTCCTTTCCAAGTGGTCGGCGCGCTTGTCGTGTCTCCACAACATGCCGCCTCAATTAACCCAAGAAGACCGGTGAAGCGTATACGCTCCAGCCCCAGTCACGTTTACCATAGCTCAACCTGATACGCCGCTGGTGTGTAGGCGATGATTTACGTGGACCAGTTTTTAGTCCACCTAACGGCTTCGGAAGCATTAAACTTTCAGCCAGGGCAATGTACCGACTGCCTGGTAAATAGTCATATAATGTGTCACAAAACACGTGGATATATATATATATATATATATATATATATATATATATATATATATATATAATGCGCACTGACACTTATGCACAGCGTGAACATCGTTCAGCAGAGGCCGTCACTTTGCGTACAGGAAACATATCCTTATAGAGAAGGCAGTACTGCAAGCTGTACTTCTCAAATTCGTTTCGTGTCTGCCAATATATCGACAGCTCGACAGGGAATCAAATGTGGATTCGGCTGGCTGCAAGTTTGTGGTTCACGTGCACATTTGTTGGAAATATGACATTTGCCGTGTGTGACGGATTTTAACTTTTTCGGGCACATCTCGGCACTCCGTGCAGGTAGAGGAGTGAACAAGTTTCCGAACGTTGACAAAAGTACCTCCTACAATTTCATTACGCAACGCAAGTTTATGCGACGCACCGTCGTGCACACAAATTTTCGTAATATTTGTAAACGTTAGGCTTTCAAAAAACACCGCTGAATACCAGACGCGACCGTCAATAGTGCGTCAACGCACGACTTACGCGCAAAAATGTATTTACCAAGCAAGGATGTGCCAGTGCAATGGAACTACAATTGCGTAAACTATTCACAAAGGTTGATGGTATAGGAACATTTACCACAGTCCACGAGCCAGATGAAAGAAGCTTTTTCCCATCTACGGCAGAACGCACGCGGTCCGAAAAGTAGAGATCTGGTTCAACAGTGTCGGTGGACGGAAACCGCGCTGGGACGAGGAAAGGAGACGTTTGGAAAATAGCTAGTGGTGAAGCTGATGCTGTAGCGGCTGCTCCACCACCTTAGAGGTGCCAGGCAGGATGAAGAGCGGACGAAAGTTGTGATGCCTAAAACAAACCCGAGTATGTCTTCTTAAGTATGTCCGTCGCCTTCTGAAAGTCATATGGATAGAATATTCTACTTTTATGAGTTTCGCTTGCAAAGGTATACTGATCTTTAGCGTCCACACGCCAGATGCCATAATTTGAAATATCGACAGGCTTCCATGGTTTGCCAAGGTCTGGCAATTGTAATGGGGAGGCGAAGTATATATATATATATATATATATATATATATATATATATATATATATATATATATATATATTCAACATATATATTCAACATATATATATATATATATATATATATATATATATATATATATATATATATATATATTGTAATGGGGGGGGCGAAGTATGCATATATATATATATATATATATATATATATATATATATATATATATATATATATTGAAATATCGACAGGCTTCCATGGTTTGCCAAGGTCTGGCAATTGTAATGGGGAGGCGAAGTATATATATATATATATATATATATATATATATATATATATATATATATATATTGAAATATCGACAGGCTTCCATGGTTTGAGGCCTGGCAATTGTAATGGGGAGGCGAAGTATATATATATATATATATATATATATATATATATATATATATATATATATATATTGAAATATCGACAGGCTTCCATGATTTGCCAAGGCCTGGCAATTGTAATGGGGAGGCGAAGTATATATATATATATATATATATATATATATATATATATATATATATATATATATATATTGAAATATCGACAGGCTTCCATGGTTTGCCAAGGTCTGGCAATTGTAATGGGGAGGCGAAGTATATATATATATATATATATATATATATATATATATATATATATATATATATATATATATATTGAAATATCGACAGGCTTCCATGGTTTGCCAAGGCCTGGCAATTGTAATGGGGGGGGGGACGAAGTATACATATATATATATATATATATATATATATATATATATATATATATATATATCGATATTACGTGTACATATGTATTGGAAAGCATATTTTGGTACGGAGAAAACAAATGAGGCATGGGTAATTAAAGTAAGACAAAATTCTTTTTCACTTTGATGCATATCAAATACACTCATAATGGGAACACTATAAAGACACAAACATATTGCCAAAGTCACATCAGTAGTGCTCAGCGCCCACCATCTCATAGTTAAAGGGCTGTACAAGAATTTGTTTGTCTGTTTAGGGCCGGAGGGAGATTATTAATGAATATACTTTCCAAAATTTGAAGGCGTCGTCTGTCATTGCACGTCCGTAAAATGTCAGTGTTGTGTGTCAGTTGTTGTTGCGTTAATGTAATGTGTTCGTGTCGCATGTGGTCCAGAGGTGTCCCGTCACGTAAGCGCACTGTCAGGCGTCGTGAGAGTGTCGTTATGACCACACCAATGTAGTGTATGAAACGAAGTTTTCAGCCTTCGATGTTGCATTTGAATTGATACACTACATTAGTACATTTTAGTTTGTCGGGTTTGTATATAATGCTATGCATGAATTTCGAATGCCGGGTGTCACCACGAAATATAGCACATTTTTTTGTCCCCAAGTCCTTCAACCGTAAATCAAATTAAAAAATATACTTTCAGCCAAAGCGTGATGCATGCAAATTCATCCTCATACAAAATTAAAATTGCAAACATCTGTCACGCTTGATGCTGACGGTAACACGTGTATCAAGCGTCCTCCTTTGCATTCAACATACGTGGTGGCATGCCCCTGTGCCTCCTGGGCCACGTTAACACCCGTTTGACGTCATCCCGCGTGTACTTCATTTTACGGAATATTTGGTTACGGAATATTTGTATTCTGAACACACGTGTATGTATTAATGACAATATACCTTTTAAAATTTTGGACACCTCGCCAATTCTTATGTTTCAATACTCTGTGCTTTTGGTGACTGGTGAGGGTGTTGTGGAAGAAAAACCGGACATCATGGTATTGATCACGAATGACCGGGTTTCGGGGCTATGCAGTGTTCACGGCATGATCTACCTTGATTTAGCCCACAGCCTGTGTCTGAGGCCAGCCACGCAACAGGTGGCATTGGCGGCTTTCCGGTGCGTTACTGGCGCGTATCAAGTCGGATAATGTTGAATCACTGGGTGTTTTACTGATGATGATGATGATGATGTTCAGCCTGCGTCGCACAGCTCGTGTCACGACTGTACCTGCTCCGGTGACCAAGAATTGGTCTCAGCCCTTAGCAGTCCCAAACCCAGCGTAAACATGTCTTACTCACCATTATGTGTGAGAAGCCACGCACTATGACTTGATGTTTGCCGGTATGACCGTCTGCGCTCGCCGTCAGTGTTGCAATCTTAGCCCACTGTAGCAACCGGTCGCCGAGATTCAAACCTTTTATAACAGGTTATAACAGGCTAAAATGTTATTTGAACCTGTTATATGTTCCTGTGTCGACCCCGGGCCCCGTTTTTTCCCACCTTAACGCTTACCAAATGCCGAAAATAAGCTCAGACGGGACACTGGATAATGCTCATACCACAGACTGTAAGTGGCGCGAAAAAAATACTTCTGCTGTGCAGAGATGACAATTTCGTGAGATTGTGAACTTGAGCTCAGGACCCGTCCGACTTTCAATGTTTGGTCGTGTGCAACCTTGGGCAGCAGTCTTGACACAGCCGGAGGTAGCAAAAATAACAACTTAGTTCTTTTATCTTTTGTTCTTTATCATTACTGTCACCACTAGATAATGGTAGATGAAACGCCTTCAACAAGAATTGTCTCGATTTGTCCCGCACGAAAACATACACAATATTCTTGTTGTATTCAACAATGCGGATGCCTGGTATGGTTTACATGACATGCACATTGCACAGACACTATAGCAAGTTTCTGCTGAAACTTTGGGGACGGAGGAATCCGCTGATTTCAGCTAAATAGTTATTTACGACCATTCACACCAAAACAGTGAAAGGCTGGCGTATATCTCAGACACATAATCCTACCCATACGCCAATTTCTCAGTTTCAAGCTACGCACCACGCACGCGGTGTCCGACGCAGCGGACGCTGCATACACGCTCACTCCGTTAACATGCGAGTAACAGCCTCCATTTTGTTATCTTGGCGAGATAAACTCGCGAAGGACGGGGCTTAGCTCCATGGGCGTGAGCGCGCGCACCTCGAACACGGACCGTATGAACGCACATGCGCAGGAATGCTCGCTTTTCTGGGCACGGCCCGTGAACCCACACACTTCAAGCGGGGGGTTGTTATGACGCCATGCACATGTGAAACTGTCATGATCTGTATGCTCCTGAACAATCGTTTACAGGTCGTGAGTTAAAAGAGCGATATTTGTATCACTACTCCTAAAAACCCAGCCCGAGTGAACTGGCATCCCCTACACTCGGCTTTCACATTGTTCTACCTGCACAAAAACGTCTCACCGTTTACGAAACGCACAATAATTCACCTCATCACACGCCAGATGGCACCACCAGTCATCCGGAGTCGTTCTTAACGATTTACAGACAAAAACATGACAGCGCTCGCGGTCAACGCAGACCGTCGTAATTAACCGCATCACCTGCTAGATGGCAGCACATGCTGTGCTAAGCACAGTAGTTGGCTCGGCAGACGCTAGATGGAACAGGCGACGCACAAAGCTGTTCTCGTCATCGCGGCAATGCGCTGTTGCGTACAACAGGGCATCATCACAGCGCATGACGGGCGGCACGGCGCTGGGGCAGCGATCAGCCCGGCACCACGCTGGGGACGTCCGGGAGCCATTGCTGTCCCGGGAGCCGCCGCTGCTCCGGGAGCCACTGCTGCCCCGGGAGCCGCTGCCGCTTCGGGGGCCACTGCTGCCCCGGGAACTGCCGCTGCCCCGGGAGCCGTTGTTGCCCCGGGAGCCGCCGCTGGCCCGGGGGCCGCCGCTGCCCCGGGAGCCGCTGCTGCCCCGGGAGCCGCTGATGCCCCTGGAGCCATCGCTTGCTGCTGCACCTGGAACCTCCGCTGCCCCGGGGAACCGCCGCTGCTTCGGGAACCGCCGCTGCCCCGGGAGCCGCTGCTGCCCTAAGAACCGCTGCTGCCCCCGGAGCCGCCACTTGCTACTGCTCCAGTGACCACCGCTGCTTCTGCCCCTGGAGTCACTGCTGCCCAGGTTGTCACTTGCCCACGTCGCTAGGGATGCTTCAAGGCTACGGCGGCGCCGCCAGGGGCAGCGGGCAGCGGCGCGCTGCCAGGGCGGGCCACACGCACGGCGTGAGAAGCGGCGTCACGCACGAAGGAGAGCAGCAACACGCGGCACGAACCGGTCGGCAGCGGCAACGCCCCACAGCGTCAAAGGCCGGCTAGCTGCGAGCCAGCGTCAGTGTTTTCGTTTCACTTCCAACAGCTGGGGGTAGTTCTCCACAATGTTGAGCAGGATTCCGTCAATGTAAGCGCGCAGCTGCTGGTTCACCTCCTGCTGCTCCAGCAACGACTTCTTCAACTGAAACGTTGGAGACGTAGTTGAGTTGCGAACCGCGGAAGAGTGCATCTACCGGAAAACTACAAACAATGATGAGAGTACTACAATGTACTAGAGTACTACAATGCGTCTCTTGGTGGAGGCTTCTACACTGAATGACAGTGGGTACCGGACAGTGTGCACTACTTTTTCAGCACCATACATTTTGGATAGTGCTGCTTCTTGAGTAGAAATGTCTCAGTACGGAAATCCGGACAAGGTTGATCAGATGACAATAAAATATTCAAATTATTCGACTTGGACCACATGAACACCCAGTTTAAATCATCAAACAGTTTTTTTCCTTCTTCTCCGTGACATGCGCCAGCACCTCCGCGAAAAGCGAATGTAATGGAAGGAAAAGATCCTGGCACCCGAGCTCAAGTTCATGCCGTGATATTTCCCTGCACTTGGGACGTTGCGGGCCTACAGGAGCCATGGTCATATCAGCACGCATCGAAAAACGTATCCAGTGGCAGCACGTCGTGAATGACGCCCTTTGACACAGAGGTCAGGAAAGCCCTGCTAAGGTGGTTTCCCACAGTTTCGACCCTTTGTTCTCTTAAGGATTCATCGTATGTTACCGTACAGCGGAAGGAAGGCTGAATAATTCTTGGCTGTGGTTATTGTAAGGCTGGTGAAAATATACACATTTTAACTATTCATAAATTCTGCAGAAACAGTGCAAGGTACCAAGTTGTTTCAACCGAGCATTTTCCGTGGAAAATGGCCCGCTAGTCAGACAACCATTCAAACTAAAAAGTCGTTTCAGTTACTAAAATCCTGCATATGTCTGCATAAGTTCCCGAAGCATGCCCTGAGCCGCTCCATGTGCAAAGCCTTCGCCAAAGCGCCAAACCCAGGCCTTAACCAAAAATCAAAGGAACAAAAAAGAAACAGCAACAATACTCCGCATTCCGAATCTAGACTCAGCGCATTCGTTGACCCCATACGACATCCAAAGAACACCACGCTCATGGTCCCTCCCGTCTGATGACGCGTCGGAGCCACACCAACAGGGGTCCGGCGGCATGCGAAGAGAGATGCGGGCAGAAGAGCAGCCATGCACCAATGCCCACTGCCCTTCGCCCGGCGCATGTGAGCCCGTTAGTGAATTAGTGGCACACATAGCAGCTGTTAGTGGCTTCCAGCGACGAATGCGGCCGCCACCTCACCTTTTGTGAGTTCTCCGCACTGTCAACCTTAAAACAGAGGACACCGTTTATCATTAATGACGGCTAGTGGAGTTATCTAGTATTTATATGCTACGCCAAGTACGTGTGTGGCATACTGCATGACTGAAGTGGCAGGGAAAATTTCAGTGGCTTCACAGGGTCCCGATTCCTCCGCAGGCAAGATTTTATCCTGTCTTGTCTCAGTTCGGTCCCCGACCCTACACTCACTCACAAGCACATTCATTATCAAACCTAAGCAGGTCGATGTGGTCCAGGCTGTTTTACTCCTAATCACCAACCTCCATTCAGCATGCCTACTTGTTCTACTACCTCGCCCTTCGCACGCTCTAAGCCGTCGTCTACTTTCTCTCTTGACGTTCCTTCTCTACCCTCGTATCAGTATCGATTCTATCGACGTACACAGGAACAACCTTACTTTGCCTGCGCCAACCATCCGCCTCTGCGAGGTATCTCCTGTGTCTAACCGCCGGGGGGGGGGGGGGGGGGGAGGTACTGCGAGCCTGTACGTCACGTTGGGGCTTCGTCTGAGTCCGAGCACCCTGGCGCGTCTGTTACACCAGCAGCAGCAGAGCCCCGGCCCTCATCCCGGCACCAGCGGCGGCGCGGCCCGCGCCACCGCCGCTGGATGGCGCGACCGCGTACGGCCGCCGCCACCCGCGGATGTCCGACGGACAGGCCGATGCTGGGCACAGGGACGGGGACGGAGACGGGGCAGGGACGGGACAGTGGCGGGAACGGTGGCAGGGACAGGAACAGGGACAGGGACAGGGACAGAGACAGAGACAGAGACAGCGACGGGGACAGGAACGGGTGACGGGGACGGGGTCGGTGGCTGGAAAGGGGACAAGGGACGGGCACAAGCACGGGCACGGGCACGGGAGCGGGCACGGGCACGGGCACGGGCAGGGACGGCTGGGCGCAGCGCGCGCGAGGTCAGCCAGACCTCCAGACAGCGCACTGCAGGAGACGGAACAGGACGGGAGCGCAGCAGGACAGAGGTACGTCACTGGGCGAGCCCTCACGCACCTGGTCTCCCGACATGTCTCCCAGCTCGGCAGCCAGACTCTTGGTGCCCGAGTTCAGCAGCTGCATGCCCTCGTGCAGACCCGTGGTGAGTAGCTGAGCCTGCAGCTCCTCGTTCGACTCCTGCAGCTCTGGGGACGGACAGAGCCACGCGACGCTGGTGTCACAGGCGGCGCCGGTGTGGCAGTTCTAGCACGGCTAGGGGCACCAGGGACCAGGGGTGCAGTTTCATATTCAGTTAGGGAGATGGCCAAAGCCCCCCTCCCCAACACAGGCTACAGCCGCTCAACTTTGTGGAGATAGTGGGCTAGATCTGGGGAGAAATATTTTTGTTGGCATATTCTGGGGGCAGTGTAGGTTATTTTTCACTGTTCAGGCCCTTTCCCAACCCAGGTTGTGAAACTACGCCCCTGTCAAGAATAACACCTGGGTACCAGATCTCCAAGTTCATTGCAAGCATCCTTCTCAGGCACAGCAAACGTGCACGCTACATCTCATCTCATTACAAACATCCTTCTCATGCACAGTAAACGTATACACTACGTCTCAGCAACACGCTTTGTATCGATCTTCTCCGAGTAGGCCCATCGTTACGTGACTCAGCCCACGTTGCTTTGCTACTTGCCAGCTATACGCTCCAAACGCACACGGACACGATACAGCTACGGTAAGCTTTGCAAATACCTCACAAAGTCTGTTGTTGCATAGCCTGACGTCTGACCTTTGTCCTGTCGGACCTGGAGGCTCCACTTCGTTCTCCGGACAGAGCTGGCGTCTCACCTTTGTTCTCCTGCTGGAGCTCGCGACTCACAATTATTCCTCGCCAAGGTGGCGCCTCAACTTTACTCTCCCGCCTAAGCTGACGCCTCACCTTTATGCTCATGTCAGAAATGATGCTTCACCTACGTTTCCCCGTCACATCTGGCGCCTCACCTTTGTTCTCCCGGACCTGGCACCTCACCTTTGTTCTCTTGTCGGAGCAGGTGCTTCACCCTTGTTCTCCTGCTGGAGCTGGCGCCTCACCTTTGTTCTCCTGCCGGAGCTGGCGCCACACCTTTGTTCTCCTGCTGGAGCTGGCGCCTCACCTTTGTTCTCCTGCCGGAGCTGGCGCAGCTCGGCCTCCAGTTCCGAGTGCTGCAGCCGGATCAGACCGGACTCGTCCGACTCCGTCTTGAGGCGCAGACTCGCCGTCCGCTGCGTCTCCTCCAGCTCGCGCGAGAGCTCGGCCATCATCTGATGGCGCCGGCAGAGCACAAAGGTCAGCGGGGCACGAGAACACACTTACGTCATAGGAGATTTGCACGCCACCGAGTCACGCGAGCTCGGCTCAGCAGACATCCGTCCGGCTCCTGCCATCGTCACAACATAGGCTAACGATCGTCTGACGTAGACATCTGAGATGTGTTTGGCAGACCACTTCCGCTTGAGCACATCCTGGCCTCCTTTCGACGTTCTCTTCTCTACATGCCGGAGTTTTTCTGGCACATCAAAATTTGAACAAAAAGGCTCCATTCATAGTCATGGTCCCCTTCCCGTTAGTCCTATTCGCATCCTACGTGAGTATGGTATGCATTTCTCTCTCAGCTTTTGTTCATAGCCCCAAGATCATTTACACATACCGAGACCTGGACATTGGTTGCGGGACTTACGGGGTTTCGTACTTTGCACTACCTATTTCACCTTTATTCCAGTGGACACCCCTACAGCTCCTCAATGGGAGGGGGAGGGAAATGGCCACAGCGGCGGGAGCCACCCTACAGTGTGCCCCCCCCCCCGAGCCTCCTGCTCCTGACCTGGGCCTGTGCGCTGCGCTGGCTCTCCAGCTCCGAGCAAGCCCGCCGCTCCAAGTCGACGGCCCGTCGCGTCTGCTCGCGCGCCTCGTCCAGCGCCGCCTGCAGCTCGACCAGCCGCTCGTCCAGCGCGGCACGCTCGTCGGCCGAGCCGCGCAGCTGCTGCCGACAGCGGTCCGCCTCCGCCTCGGCGAACCGCAGCTCTTTCTCCAGACTCAGAGACCTGAAGGAGTCGGGCGACGTCAGCCGAGAGTGGGAATCGAGCAGGGAAAGGGGTGTCAAAGAGCGAGGCCAGAAACAGACAGAGGTGGCAGGGAGCAGGGGATGGAAACAGACAGGGGTGACAGAGAGCGAGAGACAGACAGAAAGCGGGTGACAGACAGAGGCAGGGGTGACAGAGAGCGGGAGACGGACAGGGACAGGGAAGACAGAGAGCAGGGAACGGACAGGGACAGGGGTGACAGAGAGCGGGGGACGGACAGGGACAGGGGTGACAGAGAGCGGGGGACGGACAGGGACAGGGGTGACAGAGAGCGGGGAAAAGACAGGGACGGGATGGCAGAGAGTGAGGAACGGACAGGAGCAGGGGTGGCAGAAACCAGATGAAAGATAGGATGATTTCGCTAGCAGTTCGCTCAAGAAACGTGACATGTGAGCACCTGACCACCGATGTGCCGAGCAGCCTCAAAATTACGACCGTCTTTGGGACTGCTCTGATGTGTCGCGGAAGCCGGCTGTCATCAGAATGTTACGTGGCCGCACCAGGTGTGACACGCCCTGACCTGATCTGGTGGTTTTCCACTTCTAGCAGCTTCTCCCGTTCGAGCCGCTGCATCAGCTCCCTGTGGCGCCTCTTCTCTGAGTCCAGCTGCTCCTCAGCCCGCATCTCCGCGTCTCGCAGCTGAAATGGGCCGCGGGCCGGCGCCGGTCAGCCATCTGCTGATCCTCAGACGCGCCGGTCAGCCACCAGCCGACCCTCAGATGCGCCGGTCAGCTGCCAGCCAACCCTCAGACGCGCCGGTCAGCCACCAGCCGACCCTCAGACGCGCCGGTCAGCCGCCAGCCGACCCTCAGACGCGCCGGTCAGCCGCCAGCCGATCCTCAGATGCGCCGGTCAGCCGCCAGCCTACCCTCGGACGCGCCGATCAGCCACCAGCCGACCCTCAGACGCGCCGGTCAGCCACCGGTCGACGCTCAGACGCGGCGCACACGGCCCCTGACGGACCTCATCACACGCGTTCTCGTCTGACGTGGCGTCGTAGATCACCGCGTTCTCAGACACGCCACGAGACGTGGGAAAATACGAGGACAGGAGGCACTGTCTGACAGTACTTCTGAGCTCCGTATTCATCTAGCAAACCTGCTGAGCGATTGCAAATCGCACAGTAAACGAAAAAAATGATTGCTCATGAAAGTATTGACTAATTATTTAGTGCAACGAACATGCTAAACGAGAGCATGCTCTCGCAACGGCTTGACGTATGCTCGGAAGCCCGACCACAGGCCCGGAGCCCCGCCGGCCGGTGCCCTGCTTCAGACCCGGAGCCCCGCCGGCCGGTGCCCTGCTTCAGACCCGGAGCCCCGCCGGCCGGTGCCTTGCTTCAGACCCGGAACCCCGCCGGCCGGTGCCCTGCTTCAGACCCGGAGCCCTGCCGGCCGGTGCCCTGCTTCAGACCCGGAGCCCCGCCGGCCGGTGCCTTGCTTCAGACCCGGAGCCCCGCCGGCCGGTGCCCGACCTCAGACCCGGAGCCCCGCCGGCCGGTGCCCTGCTTCAGACCCGGAGCCCCGCCGTCCGGTGCCCGAAGTCAGACCCGGAGCCCCGCCGGCCGGTGCCCTGCTTCAGACCCGGAGCCCCGCCGTCCGGTGCCCGAAGTCAGACCCGGAGCCCCGCCGGCCGGTGCCCGAAGTCAGACCCGGAGCCCCGCCGTCCGGTGCCCGAAGTCAGACCCGGAGCCCCGCCGGCCGGTGCCCTGCTTCAGACCCGGAGCCCCGCCGTCCGGTGCCCGAAGTCAGACCCGGAGCCCCGCCGGCCGGTGCCCGAAGTCAGACCCGGAGCCCCGCCGTCCGGTGCCCGACGTCAGACCCAGAGCCCCGCCAGCCCGGAACCCGACCTCAGACCCGGAGCCCCGCCGGCCGGTGCCCGACGTAAGACCCGAAGCCCCGCCGGCGTACCTGTTCCTCCATCATGATGAGCCGCGCCTGCAATGTGGCGTTCTCCTCCTTGCTCCTGGTATAGCGGTCGTCCGTGTTGTTCTGGTTCTCGGCCAGTACGGTGACCTGCCGTTCCAGCACCTGCACCTGCGGCAGGAGGCAAGGTCAGGAGAGGTCAGGCGGGCGGGGAGGCAGGCGTCAGCTGACACAGGTGAAGGTTAGGTTAGAGGTTAGATGGCAGAACTCTTGGTTAGAGTAATGGTACATATTGCATAACGGGAAATGAGACATTCTATGTTCCTTTTGCTGCGAGTTGGGAGCTCGGAGATCCGCTTCGACGAATAATTGTCATAATACATGGGATATGAAGCACTGCACACTTCCGGTGACAGACGGACACCTATGCAGACAATGTCCCAACGCTATCGTAGTTTTAGTTCGCATCACGACACTGTAATTAATCTCGGCACCGAATCGAAACATTCCTAGACGTTCGCAGGCAAGCACCAAGCTCACTCCTGAAAAAATATATTTACAGCAACACAGAATTCTCCACGAGAGGGCCGTGCATGGGCACAAAATCATGTCCGCTAAGCTGAGCCCCTGGAGGACGCGCTACATCTGGAGGACACGCTGCGAGTCGTGTGTGCCAGGTGGCGCGACACGCTCCCAAAGCGTGATCTCCCGGTATTGTTATCCGCACAAAATTTTTTGAACGCCTATGACGTCATAAATGACGCGGCGTAGCACATCGACGAGCTGCCGTTACTTCGAAGCTATCGCCAACCTTGCCCCATACATGACGCTCAGGCCATTGGCGTTAACGCTACGACGTGTCCATCATGACGTCATGAGTCACACGTTGCCTAGCGACGGCCACTGTCGGGCAAGCCTCAGCTTGCCCGACATGTCATATCCGCCGGCCCGATAACTTCACGGGATCAATGGCGGCAAGAGTGTCCTGACCAGCGGCCCGGGGCGGCCTTCCTCGGCCACATCGAGCCGGCGAGGGGGTAAGGTTTGTCGGCCGGCCGCCGGTAGCCACACGCGGCACACGAGGCGGCGCGCTGCGCCGGTCTAGTCGCCCCTTGACCAGGTCCTCGCCCGCGGGATGGGCTCCGGCAGGATTGAATACGTTCCGACCATGATCACCGCAGCCTCCGCGCTGCACCCGAAACACGGTCAGCCCAAGCGAAATATTACGCATCTTGTAAGTGAACTGCATAATGCATTGCACACATCGAGACGTGACGTTAGATCCGCAGTCGATGTGCAGTTACTTCAATTCACACGGCGCCTCCAAATAGTTCTCGTTCGTTCGCCGGAGAGCGAGCGACAGTCGCGAGAGGTGGCGTGGGGCGGAGAACCTCCCGCGCCTCCCACTCACTTTCTCGTGCGTGTCCAGGTACCACGAGTACAGGTCCGTCTCCCCGAACGCCGTGCCGCGAAAGCTGAACAGGCCCTCCCACCAGTCGTACTCGAGTTCCCCGCTGCCATCCGCCCTGACCTCCGGCGTCGACCTGGCCTCGGCGTCACCCGCCCGGCGACGCGTCTGCGGCGAGCGCGCGGAGCGCAGAAACTGGCGTAGCTGCGACGACACGACGCTGTTGTAGACGGGCACCTCCAGCAAGCCTTGGCCAGTGTCCTCCAGGTCCAGGTCGCAGAGTGACCTCAGGTCGCCGCTCGAGGAGACCAGCTCATCTTCCAGGCCGCTGTCGGCCACGTCGGCGGGGTCAGTGACCCGGATGGCCGGCTGGTCGGCCGTGAGCTGCGGCATCTTCTCAGACATTGGATCTCCACCGATGCCGTCTTCTCATTCCAACACCTGTGCACGGCGCCAGCTGTGACAAGGAAGTTGGGCAAAAGCGTGCGCCAGCTGCTTGACGTCGAGCTAAATATTCCGAGCCTAGATTTGTGAACACAGGATGCTGTTTGTGGAAGGATTCCTATGCAAGGCCGACCCTTAGCTTTGACCGTGACCTCCCCGTCCACAGCAGTTCTCCAGCCCGAGGGAGGGGTTGAGGGACACCCGCTGTGAATGTGGAAAGCGTGACCCGATTTCACGAGAACCCTTCCAAATCCCCTGCAGGGCAAGGTCCGACCCACCGCCGCGTAGCAAACAGCGAACGGAACTGCCGAGTTTCGCTCGCCGGGTGACCTCCTGCTGACCTTGGAAGTCGGGCATCCATCCAGCCGCAACACTTCCGCAGACAGCAAGACAGCGGGCACCATGGACCGCGATTGACGTCTTTGGTTCGCACTGAGCACTGGCAGCAAGCCACCTGGTGCCCCACGCATCCTTGACGGAGCGGCGACCAGTGACGTCAGATAGCTGTGTGGCGGCACGCAAACTGAGAGATGCCCCACGGGACGCATCATTATGGACCTAAGACGGCCACGACGCATGTGCCACACACCATAACTGAACACAACGAGCGTTTACAGAACATCTTATCTGGGCCATACTTCCCCTTGCGACACCCCCAAAAACGTCACTGGGTCTACCGGTGACGTCATATCCGTTGCAGGTCAGACCGTGACGGCGACAGACGCTCATTGTCTAGCTCATTCCAGCACCTGCCCAGTGCTAACAACCACGTGGAGCTCAGTCTGCTGACGGCCCCCGGGCTGCCGGAGGGTGGACGCCATCTTGGAAATTCTGGGGCACAACTGGGGCAACCAGATACAGACCCAGGGCAGCGTGATAGACCTAGAGCACGCTGAACAAGACATAGGGGAGCTTGAAGCATACCTGCCCGGGGCAGCACGCGTTGGACCTGGGTGGCTGGCATCAAGCAAGCCTAGGGCAGCAAACGATCGAGTCGGAAAGGCGTGCACGCAACCGAGAGACTCGAAATTGTCCGGAGAGGGAAGGTTACAAGCACTGGGCTCAGCTGAGGGGCAGGGTTGCCCTGAAGACTGGACTGAACAGAGGGCCCGGGATTCTCATCTAGACGACCGTCGGCTCAGACGACGAAATGGTGCTTATCCGCCGAGCTATAACGTGAAGCTGGCATGCTTTTGTCCAACCTTGGTCACTTACGGACATTGTATGTAATCGTAGCACAAAAAGCTAAGCGCAGGCACATGCAAACCATGCACCCAATGTCGTCTCTGAGCGGGTACGATTTCACGTCCCAAACCATACCAGAGTGAAAAATCAAGAAAAAGCTGACCGAACTGACACGCTAGCTGGACTTGGTGCCGTCAAGCAGCTGGCGCACACTCCGGCGTCTCGAATCGAACGCTTGTCCCATTTGCCTGTGGTCGTCACTGACGTCGTACCGTCCGCACGCACGGAGACCCGCACTTCATGGGGTTATTGGTGCTCCAGCGCCGGCACAGCGACTTCTTGCCGTATTTGTCCCACTCCGACGTGTAGCTCCCCTGGACGCGTTCACTGCTCTCCCACAATCACTGCACTGACGCATGGGGCCGCTCAAGCACCGCCACCTTCCCGCACTTTCACGAAGTTGATGTCGCTCGCTACGCCCGTCTCGCCGCCGACGTCGCCCTCGACACACTAAAACGCTGCTGCCTCCCTGTACTGTCACGGATTCAGCGTTGCTTGGAGCGACCACTCCTACCAACACCAGCACCAACACCCCGAGTCCGCACAGCCGCCGTTCGTCCCGGCGCGACGGTGGCGCCACCTCGCCCCCTCCGCAGTCTGGCCCCGCCCGCGCGCAGCTCTCTCGCCCACGGGCGGTGGCAGCCCCCACAGTGACGTCGGCGCACCCCGCCGCAGGCGTACGTGACGGCCACGGCCGCAGCCCGCCGCCCTGTGGCCTATTTTTAACGCGCCCCGCAGCCGCCGCCAGCGGCCGCGCGGGGGCTGTGGCGGCGCTGCCGTCGCCTGGCGCCTGACCCGGCTCTGGCGCGGGTCAGGTCTGCGGCGGCCTTAACCGGATGATGTGACTGCACGGGATCTGCCAGCCGCACGGGATCACCGACACCCGCAGGGTGATATCTGTGGTTTGGACTGCAGAGGCGCCTCGCCAGCAGCCCCAGCCTCGCAATCTTGCGTCAGCTCACCATCCATGCTGTCTTATGTCATCGCACCATAAAAACAAAGAAACAAACGGACAGCCGCACGGCCCATGGGCACATGACGACGGAAACCGCGCGGTGCGCCCGTCCGCCGGCCGCGCGCAGTAACCATGACGACTCGCAAGCTGTGCCGACCGGCCACGCTGACCGGCGCCGGAGGTGGGGGGTGGAGGGGGAGGGGACGGATGTCACGACCTCGGCGCCGCGGGCCGCCGCGAAGCTCACGGTCGGCTGGCCCGGCGCACTGCAACGGCAGCCACCGCAGGCGAGGCAACAATGAAGAGCTGCCCGAGCCCGGGGCGGGGATGTGAGGTGTCTGGGCCCGGGGCGGGGGTGTGACGTGTCTGAGCCCGGGGCGGGGATGTAACGTGTCTGGGCCCGGGGCGGGGATGTGAGGTGTCTGAGCCCGGGTCGGGGATGTGAGACGCCATGTCTGGGTCGGGAGTGTGAGGTGTCTGGGCGCATGGCGGGGATATGAAGTGTCTGGGCCCGGAGCGTGGATGTGGTGTCTGGGCCCGGGGCAGGAATGTGAGGTGCCTGGGCCCGGGGCAGGGATGTGACGTGTCTGGGTCCGGGGCAGGGATGTGAGGTGTCTGAGCCCGGGTCGGGGATGTGAGACCCCGTGTCTGGGTCGGGAGTGTGAGGTGTCTGGGTCCAGGACGGGGATGTGAGGTGTCTGAGCCTGGGGCGGGGATGTGAGGTGTCTGGGCCCGGGGCGGAAATGTAAGGTGTATGGCCCCGGGGCGGGGATGTGAGGTGTCTAGGCCCGGGGCGGGGATGTAAAACCCCGGGTCTGGGTCGGAAGCGTGAGGTGTCTGAACCCGGGGCGGGGATGTGAGGTGTCTGAGCCCGGGGCAGTGATGTGAGGTGTCTGGGCCCGGGTCGGGGATGTGAGGTGTCTGGGCCCAGGGCGGAGATATGGGGAACCTGGGCCCACGGCGGGGGTGTGGGTGTCTGGGCCCAAGGCGAGGATGTGGACTATCTGGGCTCAGGGTGTGAGGATGTGAGCTCACTTGCCAGCCGGAGCCGGCCCCGGCTCCGGGTAGAAGGGGTCCTTGTTACGGCGCTGGAGCCAGCAAGCGCTACAGGAGGTAGACAGTGCTCGAGTATGCCCACTTAGATCGCGCCAGTATTTGAGGAGGTCCCCGAGGAGGTCAACGTAGAAGCTTATGCGCCGCCGAACTCGCCGACGCATTTTGATCGCAGATAAGCGATGAGGTAAGACCACGCTATCGTGATGTCCTTAGTGCCTTCAAAACCGCAGCTCACGCAGACCGGCAGATACTTCCCGGGACCGAGCGGCGGCCTACCGTCCTCGCCGGCCGCGGCGGGCGGTGGGAGGGGTCAAAGGGCCGAACCTTGGTTGGCCAGTGAGTCGAGCTCAGCACCGCATGCTGTGCATGCCCTGGATGACGACCTGGCGCAGAAGACCGGCCGAGGCGAAGCGGAAGAATGAGCACGTTTTTTTGGCAATGTCTAGTTTCAGACGGAAACTAATTATTCTCCCAGGTCAGGAATCAGAACGAATATTTTTCACAGCATATGTACACAATTGGGTGCGACCAACTTACCTTATGATTGAGATCATTGACATCATCTTCTATTGAGATGTCGGAATACATGTCTTCTCCATCACAGTTGGAGCTACGACCAGATGAATTAAAGCTAGGTGTTCGGAACACGGGGCTGAAACGGACAGAGACATCTAGTGAGCCCAACGTACACTTGTGTTGTGCTTTGCGACCTCGGCGGCGTGCACCTGGTGGCAGCGAACGTAAGCTACAGTGCTATTATTTCACCACCACATTGTCCACATGCCCAACTACGCACCTGAAACAACGCAGATCCGAGCGAAGTGAATCAGATACAGCCTGTTCGGTAATTGACCGGGCGACCTAGGTTTCTGAACGATACGACTGACGCCTGTCCCTGAACTTCCACCGTCCGGTGACGTCATATAAATCATTTCCAACTCGAACACAGCTGACCCCTGCGCCGAAGTCGGCAAACAGCCGTCCGTCCACACTGTGATGTTGATACGTTAAGGCCCAACTTCGACGGGAACAGTAGGCGACCACATAACTAACGCACTGGCACAAGAAAAACATTAGCACGTTAGCGGGTAAATGCTCTCGTTTACCCGGATCAAAGCCCACTTCCCTTTGCGGTCACTGGTCTTTGTCCACAGCTCAGTTTGCTGTCGGGCCCGACCGAGCGCGGCGCTGTCTAGGGAAGGGTGCTTGAGTAAGACGTACTAGCCAGCATCGCCTGCATTATCTGTGCATACAACATCTTACATTACTCGACTGGCTCGACTTGAAAAAGTGCGTAGCCAACTATCTCATTTTTTCCTCTACAAACGCTCCCGTCTCGCAGCTCCCACTTGGTGCCACACCTCTGCAGCGGCCGTCTCACCGGGCGCGCGTTAGGGCCGTCCGTCAGGAGTGGACACCTCGCGGTCGCCCTGGTTAGCGGTCCCGCCCGAGCATCCTCACATTCCTGGCCTGCGCTTCCCTCCCTCGTCATTAGCATAGCTCTGGAATAGCTATCGATGGCTGAACGAATCTAACTTACTTCCTCTAGCTAACCTCACTAAAAACAACGAAACAAAAGCTTTCTTTTGCAACCCAATAGCCCTACAAAAAACCAAACGCTCGCGAAGTTTCGATGTTCGGGCCATTCTTGAAATGGAACACAAACTACGGATCACTTGTCGCCACACCCGTGGCTTGACACTCCGTACAGGGCAGAGGAAATCTCTCTGTTCACCACGTCACCGACGACCAATGTCACGACCCGTGGGACTTCGCCGAGCACGTCCGCCCGCCACCCACGTGAGCACAGCGCGTCCAGCCCACACCTGCAGCGTCTCCCCGCGGTCGGAGGCTCCCTGCAGCGAGACTCGCGGTGGCGACAGCGGGGCGAAACAACACCCCCCGGGGATCAACCGGATCAGCGGCCGGCTACGACAGCTGACATTACACGCCGATCCGCTGGCTGTGTGACTGCTAACCCCGCGAGGAGATCCTGCAGTCGAGAGAACCGGGCGGGAACTCGGCGTCTCCGGCCCGGTCTCAGGCGGCGGCGGGCCTTATAGGGGACGGAGCGCTGGCGTCCAACCGCAGGCCCCTGGGCATTAGGCAGGTCCCACACCTGCGCAAATGTTTTCTCCGAATCACGGAATCGGAAAAGCGTCCGAAATGCAGCCGGAGAGAAGAATGCCCACATATTTCATTGCCACAACCACGCGGGACCGCCGCGCCTGAGGCCATTCTGGACGGTCGTTCGGAGAGGCCGCTGCGCCGAAATCAGCACGCTCAACCAAGCGGTGTCCGTCACACATCACACCCACCGTGCACATCAACAGCATGTCGGCCTGTCATGGGGCGTCAACGTTGTTCCAATGACTGACACGAACAACATCCGGACCCGTGCACTAACCGCATACCTTTGTTAGGAAAGTCAACGCATCCGACATGGCAAGCATTTTTGCGAGGCGAGGAAAAGAACGCTCACGCGGCTCGGAGCCCGCTCGCTTGCTGCGGAAGGCTAACGTGCAGATCTCAGCTCGATACATTCTATACATTTCATGAATCAGGTGCCATTCACCATGGGTTTCCTGTGTGGTACACGTGATGCATGTGAGGCGTGTGACTAATGTGAAACGTGTGACGCAGGTGACATGCGTCGAGCAGCGTGTGACCAATACGATGTGTACGCCCGGCAACATGTGTAACACATGTGGAGTGTGGACTAAGTAAGAAAAGCGTGTTGAGAACGTTGGTCCACGTCACGTGTCCCGCCCCTCCCCCCCACACACAGACAGGCGCGACCCACGCTGTTCACGCGACAGTGTGAGCCGTTTGGTCCGTGAAGCCAGACTCACCTGCTCAGGCCAGTGGGCGCCCCGGGCCGCTTGCTGGACCTGCAACACAGAGACCGATGTCAGCCCACGATCGGTTCGCTGAGATATGACATCAGAGGCCCGGGTCGGCTCTCCGATCGGCTTGCTGAGATATGACATCAGAGGCCCGGGTCGGCTCTGCAGGGCAGCGGGCGCCGCCCTCGCCACCGTCAAGGTAAATGCCTGCCTTCACCACGAGTGACACGAGCGGTAAGTAAACACATTCTGGTCACAGCCTATTTCACCCAGTAAGGTGAAGAACTGGTGCTTAAAGGTCACCTCTCCCGCAGCCTGTCTGTTCCTCGGCGCGTTTACGTGCACCAGGTTGCCGTCTCCGGGGCGAGGCACGCGCAGGGGTTTGACCAGCGCTCCTCGGCAGCGTGCCGCCACATCCTCAAGTGGGACACACCTGTGACGGTGCTCGGGAGGCGGGGGACAGCTTCTGGGGGCTGATCGATCCCGCAGCTTTGGGACATTCATCCCCTCCTTTCTGCGACGCAGCAATGGCGACACGAGAATGCAAACAAAAAAGCACAGCTCTTCCCAGTCTCGATGTTTCGTGGGAACGCAACCTTTCGCAGCGGCTTTTGTTCCTTTCCTACTGCCAAACTCCTACCAAACACGTTTGCCGGCGTCCGGTTCAAGACTTCCCCACCGCGCACGCCACCTACGCAGGCCGGTGCGGGCGAGCCGCGCCGCACAGCCGGCAGTAACCATTTAGTGGTGTCCCGCTCGGCTGCACAGAGCCCGGGCCCAGTAAACCATGACAGGATGGCCACGATTCCAGTCCCGCCTGTTAAAAAGACACACACTTTCATCCAGACCGCTTCACGCCGCGCAGCGTGTGACCATCAAGAGCCGCACTGAAATGTGAGCCGACCTGGACCGATCAGCAGTTGGGCAACGTCACAGCGACAGCGCACGCTCGCCTTCGCGCGGATCATCTGTAATAATGGAGAGGGAGGAGGGGGGAGGGGGGGGGGGGGCAAGAACGCCGTGCTGTGGCGCGCTGCGGCCCCGCATACGTACGGCGCCGATTGCGGCAGACGTGACGCACTCCGCGCCGGCGGGCCTGCGGAGTTCGGCACCAGCCCAGGGCCGCTACCACCGACAACGCTCCCAGCTGGTGTCGACTGGGGCGTAGGCGCTCAGTCCGACCCACCTCACGCCAACCGCCCGCATGAGCGGAGCCGGTACGGCGGGCGCAGCGCTGCCGTCTGCCCGGCTGGGGCGGGCTGCTGGGGCGTACCGCAGGACGCCGAGGAGCGCCACCGCTCGAACGCCGTCCCACAGGAGGCCACGGCCCCGGGACCGACCGTCGCCTTGCTCCCGACCACAGGCTCGTGCGCCAGACGAGCGTCCGGACTGTCGGACCGGACGCGTGGCGGCCGGGAGACTCGCCACCGGACATCGAGGACCACAGGAGATGGCCAGCGCACGTGGGAGGAGAGTGGGGAGGGGCGAGACCAGTCCGGCAGGTTGCGGCTTCGACTCAACTCAAGGACGACAACTGAGGAGCGAACGCAGCTCTCCGATGTTTTCGTGCGGCTGCGCAATTAGTCGGTCAATGTAACCGGATTTGCGACCCAGTTCAAAACATTGGAAAATGAATTACTTTCGGCATCATATTTGTGTTCGCCAATTGACCATGCTCCGCATCTGTTTGATCCACAGAGAGAGCTGAATAAAAAACCCCAGTCAAATGTTAAAACTCCACGTCTATACTGTTCAACCCGGTAAATATCCCCTCGTGCTGTTCTTTTCCAATGACACCTATATTTAAGCGCACGCTCAACCAATAGCAGGCCTCAGCCAAACCGTCAGAAGCCTGTTTATGGTCGCCGACAGTGACCGTCATTACGCTCAAGGCGTCCCACCACAGCTCCACTTACGGCCGCCGGCTGCCAACGATAATGGCCGGCCTCGCGACAGCGGCCGCAGATTAGGCCCCGGCCGCCGCCGTGACGCCAGGCCTCGGCGACATCACGCTCTCTCATCACGCTCTCTCCTCTCCTCTCTCCTCTGCACTGCCGTCGCGGGCAGAGCGGCGGCGGTCCCGGCTATACCAGCTATCAACGTGCATCGATCACGATGAACGATTCGAGACGAGCTGGGCGCTGCAGTGGACGCGAGCACAAATGCGGGCAGGTCCACGGGGTGCCTGCAGGTCCTCTTCTCTGCATGCACCAGCCGCCGCCTCCCCCCCCCCCCGGCCCTCTTCTCTGCATGCATCAGCCGTCCCCCCCCCCAGGTCCTCTTCTCTGCATGCACTAGCCGGGCTCCATCCACCTCCTGACCTCTGCATGCGCCAGCCCGACCCCCCAGGTCCTCTTCCCTGCATGCACCAGCCAGACCCCCTCCCCGAGGTCAGCTGAGATTACCAGCCAGAGCTCTTGGAAAAGAACACGGCACGCAGATCAAGTCAGAGCCGTCTCGCCGGCAACGCAGCTCAGCTCGGGGCAAACGCCATTTTTAACCTGGTTTCTGTTCATGCAACGCCATTACCAGGGGTGATTTGATACGGGTAATTTTAAACCTCCGCTAACGGTGGGGAACAACGGCGTCCCGTGGGTCCCTGTACCGTCACCCCGTGGGTCCCTGTACTGCTCCTGTACCGCCTGTACCCTGTACCTGTACCTTGCTCCTTGTGTGACAACCAGGCAGTGCAACCGAAACCAGACCGCCGCCGTCGACATAACCAACAAAACGGCTGCTAGATGGCGGCACTGGCGAGCCCGCCGTGCCTGGCCAACCCGCGTCAGCACGGCCCTGCGGTCAGACTGGCGGCCAGATACGCCATTGTCCACGCCTGCTGGAAGCCCGGCCGCCACGGCTCATAGCGGCGGCGTACTCTCGGCTCTCTACAGACGGAGGGCCAAGCCGACTTTCCCAGCCAGCCACCTGTTGGGACCGTCGCGTGTCTCTGATCGGCGTGCAGTTTGATGGAGAGGAGTGTATTTCGCTGCGCTCCGCAGCCGGCAAGGGGCGTACGCATGTAGCAGCCCTCGTGGGCACGCCCGTTACCAATTTTACGGCATGTATTAATATGCACGTGATCAAATCTTGGCCGTTAACAAATAATATCGAGATCATGAGATGTTCTTTTGCAATATATTGCACGCTTTTACAGCGCGCTTAGCCTGGGTTTCATTAAAAAAGCTTTACCCCCTCCCCAATCCACCGTAAAATCCTGCGTGCGTCCATAGGGGCCGGCGAACCGGGAGGGGCAAACGACGCGATCACTTGACAGCAACGTCACGTTAATGATGATCTGGCCGTACCTTACGACGTGGTTACCTGCCATGATCGCAAAACATTCAGCCATTCGCTGGTCAGCGGCCTATGCTGGACCATTTCCCAGTAAGGAACACGTATGTTGTTTCAAGCGAAACAACATCCCCTCCCGCTGAACGCATTGCCAACAATCGTTCCTGCACGGGCCATCGTTCACAGTATTGTCTTCAGCTACGGCGCGACAGCGACATTGCAGACGCGGCAATTAGCGACAAGTGAAGCGACACGACACACGTCAGGCGTTCCGCACCTATTGCGAAAGTCACATGCCTTAGCGAATAACAGCTGAGTCCGGCCAAGCGGATATCTCCATGCCACAAACAGCCGTTTTCGTACTGCCGCCGCCCCAGCCGTCCAACACGGAACCCGCCATACGTAGGACCTTGCCGCCGGCCACCGCCCGCGTCAACGCACGGGAGGGGGGGGTCGATCAGCTGTCCGTCACGTGACCAGCGCTTGTCACGTGACATCAGTCCGATGACGCAACGTTTTTCGGCGGCGGTTCCCGTGAATGGTCTGAGATGAAAGTATCCGCAACGCAATCCGAGCGCCTGTTCAGCCCGTGCCCACGGCCGGCCGTGAGGCAAGCGACTGCCGTCGACCGAACGTCCAAAGGCAACCACGGGCGTAAGCGTAGCGGGCCTCCTCTCCGGGCACGCATCGTTACCCGACCACACCGCTCATAGTTTTGAAGGCACGTTGTCGGTGACCTTGGAATGCACCCATCGATCGCTGAAAGTGACACAAACAAAAAGATCTCTAGAGTTTCCTAGGTATTTCCGATTTCGCGCTTGCCGCATGGGACGTGCCATAAAGGGCTGCCAAACCGCGATGACCTAAAGCTAGCACCAGAAGTAATGCCGCTAGAGTATCTAAGCCAAGTGTTGGGGAGTTATGGTACACGTACAAAATACAATGTGTTCTTACGTGCACACGCTGTTGGGTTTATAAGAATAGGTCAGGGACAGAGAAGGTGGTTGGTCAAGAACAGTAAGAGTGCAAAGAGATTCGGAGGCATGAGGACAGGGGGGCATGATGTCATGGAGGTGGCGGGGGCCCGCGTGAGTCAGGAAGGCGTAAATGGTCAGGAGGGCGTGCATTTAAACAGGACACATGCAAAGACGGCACGATTTGGGCCACCGCAGCCCTGAAAACATCAGGACGGGAGGAGAAGGGTACAAAAGGACACGACAGGAACCACACAAACCCACTCCCATGGAATGGGAACGGCAGGCCGGGAGACCTGAGGGCAGGCTTGTCCACAACAGCGGCCGTGTTTCCAGCCGTGGCCAACTGCTGCCTTGCCATCGGCTGTGACGTCACACCAGCGGCTGAGTTTCCAGCCGGGGCCAGTTACCGCCTCGCTATCGGCTGTGTGACGTCACCAGTCACCATCACACACATCGGGGAGCGTGACGCGCTCCCCTGGCGCCCGCCCTGTATTGCTCCGCTTGCAGCGTGCCAATGTCGACAAAGCCGCGCAAGGCTGCAAACGCTTGCTCCCTGAGAGCAGCAGGCCTGCACGGTGCACGCCACGAGGGGGGGGGAGGGGGGGGGGGGCTGCTGGTGAAGTCCTCGGACTGACCGCGCGCTCCGTCGTCACCCCAACACTCTTCCATCGACGCCTGAGACGGAGGGGCTCAAAACTGGACGTCGACATCCGATTTTGAGCCTCTGTCTCGGCGCCATCGCGGGAGATCTCTTTTACCCGATCCACCCGCTCGTCA